AGAACCACAGGTTTTACATGAGCAAGGCCTAATCAGACAGTGTTTTTTAGGTTTAATTATGTTTACTCTTCTCGATATGAATTGTTTTTCTGTAAGTGAAGAATAACTATGCATAGACCATGTTATGTTAATTAAATTCAGCATGTTTTAGAGGATATTTCTAATTGATTTCTCTACTTTCTGACTTTCCAGTCTTGTTTTAACTTTAAGCTAGTACCTTTGCATATTCTATAAAGTTTTTTTCTCTTTTTTTCTAGAGTCTTTTTTTCTTATTTCATGAGTTTTCTTAATTTATTACTTTCTTCTCTGCTTTTTCTGGTATGTGTTTGATTTGGTTATATTTTCCACTTATGACAGCTAAGTATTCTCTATTTTTCTATATACAGAATCCACAGCACATAGAATTTCAGGAGTTTCAAAAGTTTTAGTGATTAATCAAAGCACCCTCTCATACTATAACCCATCTTTACTATCCTGGCCAAGTTGTTTATATGGAGAATGTGAAACTCAAAGAGATTTAAGGGACTTATTTAGATGTAGTAAGTGATGAAAATGAGATTTAAACTCAGGTTTTTGAGACCAATATTCAACCTTATCATCTTGCATTGAATGTTTTAAAATAGAAAGGTGGGAAGAGTGAGTCTAGTGAAGGCAGGGAAAGTGGCTAAAAATTGAATTAGCAGAGTGAACCCAAGATTCAAGAGGAACAACACTGGCTGGAATAGGAATAAGGGTTTTAGAAAAAAGATGAGAGATCAGATTGGGGAAAGGAGATCAGAATATTGGGGTCTATGAATAATTAAAATAAATTGCAAGAAGGAAGAACAAAGGATATTGAGAATTATCTAGAAAGGCAGATTAAAATAAGTGGTTCAAGGGTGTCCTGAACAGCTTGCTGCTTTTGTTTCTTTTGGTTTGTTGAATTGGAAACTACCAAAATTTTCAAGTGAATAAAATAAAAATAATTTGAGCCACTGGAAAAGATTGCTTTTAGAGCACATAGACATATATTATCATCTACCTGCGCTCCAGTTTACAGAGTGGGGCTTAGATATTCTCGAGTCCTAGAGGACTGGAGATTGTTGAACTCCATAAATTTATGGCCTAAATTCCAAATTTGCTGCTGTCCTTCCCATGTACATGGAAGATTGAGAAGGGCTGTCAAATCCTAATGGAGTTTAGTGGCTGCTAACAAGACTATATTTGGAGTGAATGACCAAGACTCCATTTAGCTTGTTTTCCAGGAGCAGGGAAATAGAGAGATCCTACTCTTAGTCATTTGAGTACATCCTTGTTTCAGGCGTCTATGCCTTTAGAGGCTGAATATTTAAGGGTTGGAGAGTGCCATGGAGTCCTGCAGAAGAAGGACCTGGGAGTGGGAAGGGTAACAACATATACATTTGTTCACTGACTTGTCCATTCTGCTTTCAAATATTTCTAACATTTCAGGGAACTCTCTACTGCTTGAGAGTCAAAGGAAGAAATGGGGTCTCCTTAAGTAGTGATTTCCATGCTAAAGAACTAAAACTGCCATTTTCGAGTAAAAGAATAGACTTTGAATCAGAGACAGACAGTGTACCTTTCTACCCTGAGTTAGGTCATCAGATTTTTTCTAGTTCAGGTTACAAAAGTTACATCAGCCATTACTTGGATTTCAGTTCAGCCTTCAGGACTTGTGGTAACAGCAATGTCATCTCAGGCGTGGCTAATGTATTGGCTATTACATTATCAGGAAACTTCATTTAATATATAGGCATATAACCTTTCACTCCATTTTTTTTTTGTTTTTTTTTAAGAAATTATTCACATATTTCTGTTGTATATTTTTAGTCTATATTTTTACTTTATATTTTTTAGCAAACTTGGAATTGATGATTCATGTCCTACATCAGATAATGAAGAATTTGGTTTTCATGCCAAGGTAAATAAAGTGCTCCTGAGTGAAATTATTTTTTCTGCTCTGAATTTAGTTTTGTGGAGTATTCTAAAATTAAGTAGTTGTCTACCTATCATTGTGTTCGTAATGGAAAATTGGTCAGCACAATTTATTTTATAGAAATATGACTACTTGAATCTTTTTTTGTTTGTTTGTTTAACTATGGTAAGTATTGAAGGTGGGGCTGAAAAAAAGAATCAGCTGGAAAATATATAGTAGTAGGAATATTATAATGGAAAGATTTCCCACAATAAAGTAGATATAACATTTGGTCAAGGATACGGATTCTGAAGGTGACTTAAAACAACAATACTCATGCCTAAATGAAATCTTTAATGGATCCAATTACTTAGTGTAATAATTGTGAAATCTACTTGGTGCCTTTCATTTCCAAAACTGTGCAGCATATTATATTTGGGTTTTTTGTTTTTTGTTTTTTATTTGTTTGTTGTTTGTTTTTCACTACAGTTTTATTTGGGTATAATACAATTGTTAGGAAGGAATGTTTTCTCTATATCTGCTCTGGGTTCTGTATTTAGACTAGTAGAAATTGTTGAAATTTGAAATTTAAGTTCTTTTTCTCAAAAGCTATATTACAAAGAGATTCCACTGTGTTCTAAATCATTATATTAAGATTAAATTTTAAAGTCTTTGTCTAATTGTAGACTGCATGCTTTGCTTAAAATAATAATAAAAAAAAACAAAATTGGTAAAATGTCAGAATCAGAAATTTTGTTGTGGTGGTGATTGTTTAAATTTTTTATTTCAATTGCAGTTGACATTCAATGTTATGTCAGTTTCAGGTGTACACCACAGTGGTTTGACATTTATATAATTTATGAAATGACCTCCCTAATTATTCTAGTACTCCCTGAGACCATACACAGTAGTTACTATATTTTTGTCTATACTCCCTATGCTATACTTTATATCTTCCTGACTACTTTATAACTGCCAATTTGTACTTCTTAATCCATTTAAATTTTTCAACCAGCCCTCCAACCCCCTTCCCATCCAGCAACCTTATATTTTTTGGATATTAACCCCTTATTGGATGTATCATTGGTGAATATCTTCTCCAATTTTTAGATTTTCTTTTCATATTGTTGATGGTTTTCTTTGCTACGCAAAACCCTTTTAGTTTAAATCATGCATATGGGTCTTTTTCTCTTATCCATTCAGTCATCCTAAATCTTTTGATAGGAGCATTTAATCCATTTAAATGTAAAGTAATTGTTCATAGTGATGTAGTAACTGCTAATGTGTGGACTGATCTCACGGAGTGGGATTGGCTGGAGCAGGGCTCTGGGGCCTGCTGAGTCCATTCTTTCCATATATCATCTGTAGAACTAATTGGGTAATTCGCTAGTGTGGTCTGGAGCTGTGGACTAGGTGTGTTGGTTTTGGGGCCTCTTGGGAAGGGCTCCAGTGCAGGCCCAGGTCAGCTTCTACTTGCGCTCAGCCCAGGGCCACCTAATAGGAGCTATAAAGTGATCTGGGGTTGGTAGCTGCCTGTGCTGGGCTTGGCAGACCCTGGGAGAGGCTATACTGTGAATTGAGGCTGGCTTCCCCTATTGCTGGACTGGTGGCCGCTTAGCAAGAGATACAGGGCACACTCAGTCCAAGTGATGCTTATTTGGGCTTTGAATTTTTTGCTCAATTTTGCTGTGAACCTAAAACTGCTCTAAAATTACAGAATATTATTTTTTAATATTTTTAAATTTATCGGGATAACATTAGTTAATAAATTTATATAAACTTCCAGTGTACAGTTCAAATATACTTTATATGTATATTGCTTTATGTATTCACCAAAAACAAAGTTCGATTTCCTTCCCTCACGATATATTTGACTCCTTTACCCTTATCTATCTCTCCACTTCTCTCCTCCCCTCTGGTAACTAGAAAACCATTGGCCATGTCCATGAGTCTCTGTTTGTTTGTCTTGTTCATTTGTTACTTTCAGTTTTATATCCCACATGTGAGTGAAATCATATAGTTCTCAACTTTTTCTGTCTGACTTATTTCACTTAACATGATAATCTCAAGATTCATCCATGTTTTTGCAAATAGCAGTATGTCACCACTTCTTTTGGCTGAGTAATATTCTATTGTATATATGTACCACGTCTTTATCCAGTCATTTATGGAAAGGCACTTCGGTTGTTTCAACAACTTGGTCACAGTGAAAAAATAGTCTATTGTTCACCATATATTCCTAATAATACTGATGTATTATTGATACATTACAAACATTTTTATATAAATTCCTACATATATTACTTACTTATGGTTTCCTTTATTCATCTCAAGCTTGTACTTGTTTGACTCTCTTATTTTTTTTCCTTGTCTTAAGCTTGTACTTGAGTGACTGTCTCAATTTTTTTATTTCTTTTTCCTCCTCAAACTTTTTTCATGTTTAATCTATTTTTTTCTTTGCAGAAAACATCTCTTCCATGTCTGCTTTTTCAGTCCACCTCTATCTGTCCTCATTGTCAACATATGAGGCCATGGTTTACTATTTTTTATGTGTCAGCTTTCATTTATTAATTATTGCCCCATCGGTTTAATCTTTTTTTTTCTTTCTTAGGAGGAGCGAATTTAAACAATCATTGGATTTTAGCTTTTGACAAAGAGAAAGCTATTCCAACCCACCTACTATAAGATACTACTAAAAATTAAACTGTCATATTTCCCCCATAAGAGATAATTCATGTAAATGTAAAGCATGCAAATACATTTCAAAATATAACAAATAATTTAAATCTTTTAATGTTAGTTTTTGTTCCCTAGTACTCTAAGCTACCCAGGAGTAAAATTTATAATCTATTGAACTATTTGAATAATAATTATTTACAGGTCAGGAAAGTAACATTTTTGGGCTTACTATGTCCTCTCTCATAATCCTCACCCCATGAGAAGATGTAGGTTTGTAAGTAGCAGAACTGGGATACAAATCTACATATGAATGATTCCAAAGCTTTTGGCCTTTGAGTGAGAGTAATGGTGAATATTAACATACTTGTGATCAAATTTGATACTTAAAACTATAATTTTTTTCTAGAATGTCATGAATCCAAGCTTAGCAAAGAAAACGACTGCTGTTCACCAATCCCTAAAAAACAGTAAGCTATTTGAAGACTGTCTCTTCTTACATTAACACTGATTTGAAGTTACAGATATTTTCATGTACTCTTTGCTTTTACCATAGCAGAAGCAAACTATGCTATTGTGAGATCAGAAAATGGAACATTGTATAAGGACGATAAAATTCATATTGAAAATGAATCTGTGGTTGAAACCCTTCCCAAACCATCAACTACAGACCAGGGATGGTCTCGTCCTGATTTTCCATCACCTGAACCTCTTCTAAAACCTTCACTCATGTCTTTAACAGTCCTTGGTCTTACAAAAGTGAGTTGTTTGTTTTGTTTTAAATGTTCTCCCTATGCTTTTTCATGTATCATCCCCCTGATCCTTGTAGTAATAAAAAGGATTCTAGGAAGAAATAGGAGTCTTCAAGATGATAATAGAAAACAAGTGTAATAGCAAGAGACATTTATGTACAGGATTGGGATTTGTAAAGGTTCATCAAAGTAAACAATTCTTAGATCTGCCATTATGGAAGGAGAGAAATAGAAAGCAACTAGAAAGAACAGCTAGATGAATGTGAAGATGAGGAGGTACAGGAAAAATTTATTTAAGAAGGGCCAGATAAACATCAAGTTTTAATGAGAGAGTTAAGATGAGGAGATTATTATAACGACACAACAGAATGAGGAGTGGGGTAACTAAGAGTAGGAACTCGCTATGTTATAAAATATAATAGAATTTATTTTAAATGCAAAACAAAGCCAGGTAAAGAAGAAAAAATGCTCAGACTTTTCTCAGTTACTTATTGCTGAATTGTATGAAGAATTGAAAGATAATTTAATTCTCAGTTTTTTTTGCTTATTGAATATTTCATTTGAACTCTTTCTCTTTAATGCTCACTTTTAAGCTTAATTCAGTGACGTCTTATATTCATTTTGGCATAAGCTTTGTTCATAGATAATGCAAAGTGAAATCTCTTTTAGGTCTTATCAGATTTATTATAAATTATAAATTGTTGTTCCTACATTTTCATGTGCTTTCTAACTTATCTTACTGTATTGTACATATCTAACTTGCTTAATTAACTTATCTTACCATTTGGTGTATTCTTCGTAGGTGTTTTAGATTTTGGTGGGTAAAATAAAGATAGAGGAAATAAATAAGTATGTTATTTAGTTTTTTCACTAATTAAAATTCAAGTATCTGATTATGTAATGAAGTTCTTAATCTCTAATCATTAAATGAGAAAATTAATTTTAAACTACAACCTTCTGAAAGGAAAAAATAGACTTTTTTTCTGTAGAGATTCTTTTTTAAAAATTTTTCTTGTATGATTTTTTTTATATGAAACATCAAGACTAAATTAAATTATAGAAACAGAAAGCAGATAAGTGATTGCCTGGGGATGGTGGTTGGGGAGTGAGGCGTGACTATTTAATAGGAATGGGATTTTCTTTTGGGGTGATGAGAATATTTTGGACCTAGAGTTGATGGTTGCACAACATTGTGAATGTCCTAAATGCTATGGAATCGTTCACTTTGAAATAGTTATTTTATGTTCTGTGAACTTTTTCTTGCTAAAAAAAAGAATACTGTCATAACAATAATCATTGAAATTAAGATATTACACATTTGAAAACAACCAAATGGGCTCACTAAATACAAGTCTTCAGTTCTCTCCTTCTTTACTTAACAGTATCTCTGAGATATTTGTTCTTTGCTACGGCTGCAGAGATTTTCATTGTGTAGAAGTTACATGAGTTATCTATTTGGTCACCTATGAGTGGACAGACAACAGTTTTGCCATTATACTGATGCAGGAAACATCTCCGAGGCTGTGTGCAGTTTACGAGCTCTTTGGAGCTAGAGATACTGATTGACCTTTTCCTACTAATACCACAATTAATAGACAAACATGCCCACATCAAGTGAATAAAATCACAATTTATGAATTTTTTCTAATAAAAAATACTTGTTATTTTAAAATTATAAGGAAAGGAAGATTACCAACAGAGTATACAAAATTATCTCTGCAAGATGATGTTTTACTTTTTAAGTTATCACCAACACTGGGTACATTTAATACTATTCTTAAAATTTTTAACTTTGGTAATCATAGTTGTTAACCTTAGAAGAAAATTCTTCCATATCTAAAAGTGTGACATCTGGGAGACTTGAGTTTTTAGTCTTTTTCTTCATTCACTCCAGCTTGGTAATCGTGGATATGTTTGAAGACTTTAAAATTTTCAACTGAGATAATCATAGTTTTATCATTTTTAATACTAGATTTCTTCTGTAGTCTTTATCTACATAATAAATAGAAGATATGGGAAATTAGTGCTATTAGTGTGCTGTTCACAGGGGAATAAGAAAACCATGTGAATTTAAAATTAGGGATTTATATTTCTCTCATACATCATAGTAGTACTTAAAAATGCCTCATATTCCATTTGCCTTTCTTGTAATTACATTACCATTTCTCTCCTAGAATTTAAAACTTGTCCTTTAAAATTAATTTTTAATAAAGGGTCATCCTGTAACATCATAAATTGATGTTTGACAATCAATGTTTTTTATTAAACTTAAAATGCTTCTCACTATAATAACTCAAAAATAAATATTTGCTCAGATCCTTAACAGAATATTTTACATTGTTGAAACAGAATTTGAAATATGTAATGGAACAATTGAATCCCATGTTTTCATTCCCTTGCTCTTGTTTTTATATTTAAAATTTCACATGTTCTGTGTAGGTTTGTATTATTTAATTACATCAGATTAATGTCTTTTTACAAACATCTATTTTCTTAATATCATATGCTTTCCCTGAGTAAGGTCACCTGTTTCTACTCCAAATGTATTTATCCAGATCTTTCTTCTAAGTCCCCTGTGTGCTTTCAGCTTGTCCCAAACTAAAGATATTGCCCCTGGCCCTTTTCCTTTTCACTGACTCTTGTAATCTGCTCTTTCATCTGTTCTCCCCATCCTAGTAAATCCACCACCGAAATACTGAAGCATAAAAAGTTCTGGACTCTAACGTTCCCTGGAATCACCACATCCAGTCACAAACTAAGTTAAATATTTTCTACCCATTGATGATTTTGTATATCTTATTACCATAATACATTTTCTCACCTTTAATTTTAAAATACTCTTTTCTAGTTTTGCATTTTTTATGATCACATTTACATTGCTGCCAGAGTGGCTGTTCCAAATTATGTTTGTGACGATGTGTCCTCTTCTCATTTTTGCCTCCTCAATACGTGAAGGTAAAATTCATATGCCAATGACACTTGCCTTGTTTGCTGTGGCTCTGATTCTCCCGTTTTCTCTCTCCATTCCATTCCCAGTGTTCCAGTCTTACCACATGACTTTGCTGCCCTCACTTACTGTGTTGTTATATACTTCATGCTTTTGCTTGTGCTGCCCTTTTTAGCATGCCCTTCACACCCTCTCCCTGCATGTATCTCTCAAGATACAGCCCTATCTTTGCAGCATTTCCTGAGCTCCCCAGACTTGTTCTTTTTCATGCCCTTACTGTACATTTTTCACTTCAGTTGCGCATGTAGCAAATGATACTTTCCTGTTCTTATTGTTTTCATGTATCTCTACTGCTCTTAGCATATAGAATGAAATCTTTTACTTATATTTCCACTTTTCCCAGGTTAGTGCCTATGATTGGTAGATACAGTAAATGTTTATTTTCTTCCTGATTGATTGATTGAGTAAGCAAGTCAATAAATACAGTATTTTCTCAAGTTTGGTTTTTGTTTTCTTTTGTTTTCATAGGAAGATGTAACAAAGCCGGTAGTTGGAAACAAAGAAAATATTATGAATATTAATGAAAGGACTCCACAGGAACAAAGAAATAAGGACAATTTGACTTATGTTGATGGAGCACATAAAAATAATACAAGTGGTAATGTAGTACCTATCTATATATATATTCTCTTCTTACATGGTGGTATAAACCAATCTAAAATGTGATGATCCATTTCCTTTAAGTGTATTTTTTTTGCTGTCTTTCTTCAAAAGTATCCCAGCTACAACTGACTTTTTTTCTTGCCAAAGTTTTAACATCCTGAATTTTTTTCTGCTATTACTTTTATATTATCAAAATATTTATAGATTTAGACTTGATATGTACCTTAAATTCTTACTAACAAATCACATTAATGTATCTATACTTACATTTTATTGTTAAACTGTTGGCATTAGGAATAGAAGAAGCGGAAGATGTAGAATCACCTTGGAATTATGAGGTACTGCCCATTTTTTTATTGTTACTATTATTATTTTAATAATAGCATTGAGTGATGTTAAAACATAAAGGTATGCTTTGACTTTAATTTCTCACCTGTGCATTTGCACATAAAAATATTTTCATGTTTTTAACCTATAACTAACTGATAAGATAACTTATAAATACAACAATACTGCATCAGACAATTCTGCTAATTTGCAAGATTCACTTAATGAATTCAATCCATACTTGTAGTAACTTAAGTATATAGTATGAGAAATAAAGGATTAAAAGTCATAAGGAATCAGTTTGGGTTCCGAAGTTAAGTTTACCTAAAAACGAAAGTTATTCCAGGTCAACCTGTGGCCAAATGTTAGATTCTACGTTTTTTTTTTTTTAATACCTTGGAACATGAGAAGATAATGCAGGGGATTTTGAAGTTATATTATATTTGTATTGTCAAGTAGAATCTGCAAAGAACAGCTTTTTTGGAAAGAAAAAATAGCATATTTTGAGTACCTTTATGGCAACCATATTTGTAGCAACTTAAGTATATAGCAGTGAGCTAATCTAAGGTGACAACTATAAAAAGAGATAAGAAAGGCATGATCTCTTAGACATAGGCATCTGATACCTAATGGTTCAAATACTATATCTGAAGTCTAAAAGTATGCTGGCATCCTGGTTCGGTCACTTATGAGCTATGAGATCTTGGAAAACTTGTATTTAACCTGTTGGAATGTCAGTGACCTCATTCATAAGAAGAATACTAATACCTACCTTTCAGGTATGTGCAATGAACAAATGTAAAAAATCTGAAATCACTTAGTAAACTGTAAAGGGTGCTAGGAAATGTAAAACACAATGATCACAGTGGTATTTAGTTACTTAACTAAATATTGAGAATGTTTTTTGTAAAGCCAAACAACAATGAAATGGCAGTATAGTCATAAAAGAATGGGAAAGTTAGAACGGGGATGTGGATTTCGAATTCTGGGGATGTTAAGTTATAATAGTTACTCGTGATATCCTATAGTGGGGATCCTCAACCCCTGGGCCATGGACCAGTACTGGTCCGTGGCCTGTTAGGAACTGGGCCACACAGCAGGAGATGAGGGGCAGGCAAGTGAGCAAAGCTTCATTTGTATTTGCAAGTGCTTCCCAGCAGTAGCATCACTGCCTCAGCTCCACCTCAGGTCATCAGGCGTTAGATTCTCATAGGAGCACCGGTCCCTTGGTGCCAAAAATGTTGGAGAGCTCTGTCCTATGGATATGTAGTGCTTTAGTACTTGAGGCCCTTTTAATGAGATCTTAAATGTTTAACCAGAAGTAAATTTCTGTTATGGAATACCAACTATGCGCTGAACAGATAGAACTAAGTCTAGAAGTTGAGGGGTTAGGCTGTAGCAATAGGAGCAGAAAAACATGCAAACAACAATCCAGTATAAGTCACCATAAGTGCTTCATGTAGAGAAAATAAACAATGTTAGGTTAGAGATATTGGGGCAGCTTATACTTGGAATATGGAAATGGGAGTATAATTTACTTGGTCAGTAAAATTCTTTCTGAATGTGTGACAAAAACCACCCGAGTGATGTATGAAAAGGAACCAGTCACATGAAATTATAGGAAAAGGACATGGTAGACAGAGAGAACAATGGATCACATCTGTTCTTCATTTTACCCTATTATCTTGGAATGACTAGGAAACAGAAAGTGGGGTAACTACCATCATACAATGATCTCAACATGGCATACTCCAAGGTTAAAATCAGTATCTGATTTTAACACTAACAAAATTTTGATATTAGAAATATTTTAAATTTAGACCAAGTACACGTATTAAAGAATTTATTTAAATACGTATATTTCAGAATGTTCTTTTATCTTGTCAGGAATGCAAAGTAGAATAGATATTTTGAAGTTAGTTCCCTGTTAATATGTGCATATAAATCAGTATTTTGTCTATGAAAGTATTTACTCTGGCCTTCCATGCTTAATTATCTGAGAGTATCCAAATGAAGACCAAAGATGGACTTGATCTAGAGAGCATAATATGAAGTTTTCTATTTAATATTTTGATTTTCAATACATGCTTCTCTTATTTTTAAGTCTAATGGCTTTTAATGTAGAGAATTTAGATATTTTCTTAGAAAGAACTTAGAAATGTTAATTCAACTTATTATTGATGTAAATTTTAACAGAATTTTTTTGCCAATACACCAAAGGAGTATGTTGATCACTTATCTGGAGCTGCAGATCAAAGAAGAAAACGTATAGTATATGGGCAAATAAGAGGTAAGGACTGCATTTTGTAAAAAAGTAATTGACAGAATGTTAGCTTAAAACGTGACTCCTCATATAGTCTAATAGCCAAAGAAAATCACCTATTAAATGCAGAGTAAGAAAAGAGAAACGGGGGCGGGAAAATGGCGTAAATGATAGAGGTTCTGTTCATTCCTCTGGCGACCAAATCAAAGTTTTGACAAAATCAAGGAGAAAACAGCAAGGAAAAATCACCTGGGATCTAGATGAACAAGCCATACAACTAGGGAGAAATCGAAAAAAGCACCCTGCAACGGCAGAGGTAGGACGAGGTGAGGACACGAGGCTGCCTGGTCCTGAGTGGGACCAAGGCTACAGCAGCAGCAGCTGCGGCAGACACTTCTTAAAGGTGCCGTGTCCACGAGTGGACTTTCATGATAACAGAGCTGCTTGCCCTGAGCACCAATGCCAGTTCAGCTGCACAGGGACTTATAAAGGGACTCTGAGTTGTCAGAGTGAGGGCTGAGGAGAGACTGACTCTGTACAGAAATGCCAGTGGTATCCACTGTTCCTCCGTTGAGCCCTACCTCCTCCCAGTGCACAGACACAGCGCTGCCATAGCCCTGATATCATCAAACTGGATAACGGAGGTCTCCGCCCAGCTGATTCCCTGAAACCCTGCCTACCTCAGCTCACAGCCCCACCCAAGCCACATCCAGGTGTATCCTCTGCAAGTCAGGTGCTCCTTGCAAAGCAGCGCCTAGACTCACTCTTGTGGCAGCAGGCTTCGGTTTCTGGTGTGGCCTTTTGAGGCATCTACAAGCACAGCATCTGTGGATTGCTTTCTGAATCTTAACAGATGGCCCTGGAGGGGCACAGACATGGGCTAAATTTGGCCTACAGCTGAACCCCTCTCAGGACTGCGCCACTGGACACCCACTACACAAATCCACACTAATAAGATGGGGAGACTTAACAGCTTTGCTTAGTACATAGAAACAGACACAGAAAGGCAGCCAAAATGGAAAGACAAAGAAGCAGAAACCATATGAGAGAACAGAACAGAGATCCAGAAATAATGAAGTCAAGCAATCTAACAGATGCAGAGTTCAAAACACTGGTTATAAAGATACTCGGTAAACTTATGGTAAGTGTAGATGAATTCAGTGAGAACTTCAATAATGATAAAAAGAAAAAAACATAAAAATGGAAATGGAAATTATAAAAGAGAACCAGTCAGAAATGAAGAACACATTATCTGAGATGAGAAGTATATTAAATGGAATAAACAAAGTGAATAAAGAAGAAGATCAAATGACCTATATAGAGAATGAGAAAGCCAAGGGCACTCAATCAGAATGGCAAGAAAAAAGAAGTCAAGACTATAACAATAATGTAAGGAGCTTATGGGACATTATTAAAGAAAAAAATACATGTCATAGCAGTACCTAAATGAAAACAGGGTGTCGAAGAGCTATTTGAATAAATAATGATGGAGAACTTTCCTAACCTGGTAAAGGAAATAGACATAAAACCTCAGGATGCTCAGGGAATCCCCAAAACTAGGAAACCAAAGAGGCTCACACCAAGGCACATTTTAATTAAAATACCAAAGTTTAAATACAAGGAGAGAATCTTAAAAGCAGCAAGAGACAAGCAGTTACCTACAAGGGAGCACCCATAAGACTGGCAGTTGATTTCTGAAAAGAAGCTATGCAGGACAGAAAGGCTTGGCACAAAATATTTGACATGATGAAGACCCAGGATCTACAACCAAGATTACTTTATCCAGCAAAGTTATCATTTAGAGTTGAAGGACAGATAAAGAGCTTCCCAGACAAAAATAAGCTAAAGGAATTTATCATCACCAAGCCAGCATTAAAGGAAATGTTGGAGGACTTCTTTAAGAAGAAAAAACATATATCAAAAACAGGAATAAGGAATGGTAATAACTACCTTCCTATCAACAAGTACCTCAAATGGAAAAGAATTAAGTGCTCCAACCAAAAGATAGAGTGGCTGAATGGATAAGAAAACAAGACCCCTACATATGTTGCCTACAAGAGACTCACTTCAAATTAAAAGACACACACAGACTAAAAGGAAGGGGATGGAAAAAGACATTGCCTTCATGGATCTAGAGGGTATTGCACTGAATGAAATGGGTCAGATAGAGAAAGACAAATGTCACATGATTCATGTAAATGTGGAATCTAAAAAACAAAATCAACAACAATTAAAGCAGAAATAAACTCAGATACAGAGAATATTTAGAGGTACTAGATAGGATGGGGGTTTGCAGGGACAAAAAAATGGCAAAGGGATTAACAGCTACAAATGGATAGTTGCAGAATAGACTTAGAGATGTAGAGTGTAGCATGGGGAAGATAGTTAACAATGTAATAAATATGTAAGGAGAAAAAGAAGTACTAGATATAGTGCGGTAATCACTTTGCAAGTTATGTGGATCTCTGATCACTATGCTGTACAACTGAAACTGATATATTATCATATGCCAACCATCTGAAAAAAAATCATTGAATTGTATAATGTAAAATACAAGGAACTAATTGTCTATTATATTTCAATAAAGACGAAAAAAAGAAAACATAGAAAAGAGAAATGATCAGTAGTATTTTATATCTGGTATCAGCAACAGATTAAACTGATAGTGCCACTAAAGGACCTACATTATTTGTTCTGCTTCATGATACTCTAAGACCTAAAGAAACTCAGGAAATAAAAAACAGGGAAAGAATAAAAAAGCAAATGAAGACTAAGAAAGGCAAAAATTAGAGGAAGTTAATGAAACAACAAAAGCAGATATATGCACTGGAAGTTGGTAAAATAATTCTTTAGAAAAAGTCATATCAGAGTATTAGAAATACAGAAAAAAATATATAAAGTAAGCTTCCAGTACCAAAACTTGTCAGAGACATACAGCAAAGTGTCCTAACTCTTCCTCTTTTCCTCACTGTTGGGAAGGCATTACAGATTGAGGTACCTGATTACATAGAACTCTATTTTTGGTATCTATGTTTGAGGAAAATGTTGATACAAATAATAAACCAAAATTTAAAAAATGTAAGATTTAACTCTAATGGGTTTTTGTTGTTGTTGTTGTTGTTTTGGTTTGGTTTGTTGTTTGTTTGTTGTTGTTGTTGTTTTTTGATACCCTAAATTTTCCAGTTTGGAATCTGTGTACTGATTATGGATTTATTTGACCCTAATATTTTTCTAATATTGCTGGTCTTCAGACTGTGCTCAGAGAAAGCGGAAAGAAAAGGCATTGGATAGTTCAAGATGTGCGAGGGACAAGAAACAGCATTATCTTGTTTTTATTTCTGAGCATGTTTATAGCAAAAGGGAAGCAAGGAGATGAAGCAGTAGAAATAATAGATGTCAGATATTGCTGCTAAAAAGAGAGAGAAAAGGGAGTTGGGAACAATCCACAAAGGGAATGGAAAAGGAGGAAATATGAAGACCTCAGGTCTAGAAATTATTTTGAATAGGAAGGTGTATAATGAAAGGAAAAAAGGAGGAAAGGATGGCATTAGTTAGGTAATTTTGGAGTTGATGAGGAAATTTGAGAGACCTCAGTTTAGCTGGCTTTAGAATATTTGCACTGAAACAGAAGATGAGATCATGGATGCTCCAGACAACACTAGAAGCAGAAGTGCAAGAATTGGAGTAAACTGTAGCCACTCAGTTATCCTCCTCCTGCTTATCAGGTATCAAAGATATATGTTACATTGGTATTTGTTATTTGAAGGAGATTCATTTGAATATAGAAGCGTTGACTCTTTAATATTAAAGTAGCTAATAATTGAATAAAATAGTTTGTTCATAAAATAGCCTCTTCAAAGGCCAGCATGATATACCATTCCAACTAATTCTGGAAACAAAAGAAATTATAGAGTTCATTACCTAAGTGCTAACATTGTTATTTTCAGAAAATATTATACTGATGTTGAAACATACAAGATTTTAACATCTAAAATGTCTTTGGCCATTTAATAAATTTTTCTCTTTTTAATGATACTATTTCAATATCGAACGCTGATTACGCATTATTTCTTCAATGTGTTTTATGTATCTTTTTGCATGAGTGGATCATGAAAGTTTAAAAGATGGCTAAACTAGAGAATACAAGTAATGTAGGCATAACAGTAGCCTACATTTGCATGGAAAAAAATAAATATTTCTCCTATTATTGTACAAGTAGATATCCTAGCTAGTCAATTCATAATCCTTTCTCAGGTGATACATGACTTATGCACTTGCCTGAACTCTCATGACAACTGTATACTTGCTAAATTACAGGACAAATTGAAGATCATGATGAATACTTGTAGCATAATGGTATAAATGATTTGATTCTATTGCATGACATATAGGCTGTTGCATTCTATCATCAGGTTTCACATGGATCCTGTCAGGGTCATGATTTGTTTCTCAAAAAAAAGATTACTTTTCACCCATCAATCAGCATGTTGACATTGGTATATGCACACTGATCTAGTGGAAATATAACCTTTCTTTTGAAAGCTCAGCTGCATGTTTTGTTAAACCTATATTTCCGTTTTTTCTTCAGTATTCATAATGGATTTGCATTTATGTCTTGTTGCTGTCCTAATACTTCCTTCACTCTCTCCCCCCCAAAAATATAAACACCTAATATAGTCATTTCCCAAACCAAATATGAGTATCCGCTCTATACTAACTGAGTACGAATGTACAGTTGGCTTTCATATTCACATATCACTGAGTATATGTCCCTTTGCATTTTTAGATTCTCTTGAAAAACATCCTCACTTGAAGGTAATAACTTTTATACTTTTTATCTTGAATAATGAAGTACAGATTGTATGAAATGTACATTAGTTTTTAATCATTTGTTTCAAAACCCATTCAGCCTACCATTGAAGTGAAAGATGCTGTGGTTAAAAAAGCAGTAGAAATAAAGGATACACTAACATCCAGATCAGGTAAATTTTGTAAAACAATATTAACTCTGGAAGAAAGTACAGAAGATACTTGGCATGCTCATAGTCTTCATATTCCTAATTCCTTTCTCTCTCCCTCTCTTTTCCAAGCATGATTATAGCTAAATAGAAGCAAGGGGATGAAGCAGCAGAGATGATAGATGTAAGGTACTACTGCTAAAGAAAGAGAGGTTGGGCAGGGGGCGGGAAGATGTGGTGAGACAATCTACAAAAAGAATGGGAAAAGGGGAAGTATCTAGACCAAAAGTATATAAATTACTTTTGGAGAAGAAAGAAGATAGTGAACAAAAGGAGGGAAGAAAGGAAGATATTAGCTAGGTAAATATAGAGTTGATGAGGAAATTTGAGAGGCCTCACTTTAGAAGGCTTTAGAATATTTGCAATGAAACAGAAGATGAGATCATTCCTATCCAGAGAACACTAGAAGCAGAAAGAAGTTCAAAAATTGGGATGAACTGTAGCCACTCACTTATCCATCTTAAGATAATCAGGCATCAAAGGTATATGTTACACTGGTTTGTGTTATTCAAAGGAGATTAGTTTGAATACAGAAGTATTGGCTGACTTTTTAAGATAGTTAATTTTTGATCAGTTAGCTGGTTCATAAAAATTTTTTAAAGACCAGCATGATATATGAAGCCCAGCTAAGTATGAAAAAAAAAGAAAAGAAATTCTAGCATTTATTCCCTAAATGATAAATATTTACTTTTAATAACATTACACTGATTTTTAAACATAAAAGATTTTACTATATATTTCTCTTTCAATTAATTTTTCTTATATTAATAATCATATTTCAATGTTGTAAGCTCATTACACATTACTTCTTAGATATATTTTCTGTACATTTTGCTGAAGTGGTTTAAGATCTTTGAGGTGGCCAAATTAGAGGACAGAAGAAATTTAAGCATAGCAGTTGGGGACATTAGTATGGACAAAATGAATAGTTTTATTAAGTATTGTTCTACAAGTGTATATCCAAGCTGGTCAATTCATATAACTTTCTCAGTTGCTAAATCAATTATGCATTCAACCGAATTCTCATGACAACTGTGTACTTGCTAAATCAGAGGGCACATTGATGATCATGATTAAAACTTGTAGCATAATGATATAAATGACTCTGATGATCTCAATTCAAGATATTCTGTTGTATTCTATCATCAGGTTTCACATGGATCCTGTCTGGGTCATGCTTTATTCCTCTCATGAAAGATCATGTTTCACCTCATTAATCAGCATGTTGACATTGGTATAGGAAGAATGATCTTGTTTAGTGAGAATCATTGAAACATAACCTTACTTTTGAAAGCTCAACTCTCCCTTTCATTAAATTATACTTCTTTGCAGTATATATAGTGGATTTATATTTCTGTCATGTTGCTCTTCTATACTCTTTCACTACTCCCCAAAAAACACTAACCGCTACTACAGTCATTTCCAAAGCCAAACATGAGGATTCAGCTCCACACTAACTCTGCATGAATGTGTAGATGGCTTTCCTAGTCACATATAATTGAGTACATGTCCCTTTGCATTTTTAGATTCCCTTGAGAAATATCCTCACTTGAAGGTAATAACTTTTATATTTTTATCTTGAATAATTAAGTATAAATTATACTTAATTTATACTTAAATTAATGTACATTAGTTATTAATCATCTTGTTTCAAAATCCATTCAGCATCCCATTGAAGTGAAAGATTCTAATCCCAAGAAAGCAATAGAAATGAAGGATATACATACCAGATCAGGTAAATTTTGTGAATCAAATTGAACTCTCAAAGGGAGTACACGAAAATATTTGACATGCTCATTGTTTTTCTATTTCTTTTTTTACAAATTTATTTGACAGTTTTGAGATAAAGTAGATGTCATTTTGGTATCCATGTTTGAGAAAAAAGTTATTTACAAAAATAAGTAAAATAAAATTTTAAAATGTAATCTTTAACTCTGATCTGTTTTGTTTTGGTTCAGTACTCTAAATTTTTCATGCTGGAATTTTTGTACTTATTTGAATTTCCCAGAAGTTGATGATAAAGTTTCTTCTCACTATTTTAAAATATTTATTGAGTTCCAACCTTTACTTAGAGTAAAGCTTCAGTTTCTAATATATCACTGTGTTTTAAAAGTATATCATCTAAATGTTGTCATACCGATGAGCTTATTACAACCAGTTTTTCTGATTAGCTGACTCTGTGGGCGGGGGGGGGAGGAGAGAGGGTGTTGTTTATGATGTCTTTGATGATTGAAAATAAAGAAGAAATTCATCATAATGAATATTTGGTAGACACAATCTTTTTAAAAAAGTAATTCTGATACTTTTAGCCTTAGGATCTTTTTTATTATATTAATAGTTCTTGAGAATATTAAATAATTTTTAAAATTAGGTTTGATATATATAGAGAGAGACAATATTTTAAATTAAAACTGAAAATTTTCAATTACAAACACACACAGTCATACATTCCATTAGCCATTAGAAGTATGACCCCTTAATCATAGAGTTGTGATGTTACCACATTTCATGTCTGTGGAAAACTCTACTGTACACTTATACTAGAATGAGAGTGAAAAGAGCAAATAACATTTAGCATTCCTGTGAAAATAGTTTGACCTCTTGGACTCCCTAAAACAATGGATATTTGGACTCTAGGCATTCTCAGATGATACCAAGAAACACCGTTTTATAACTTATATGGGGTTCGTGGATATGAAATTATAAAGAAACCCCCCATGATAAAGCAGGCTTTTAAGCTTTACTTCTACATTTGTTGCTTTTTTCTTTCACTTGTCTTAAAAAGTTTGAATCTAAGAAATTTGATTTTTTTAGAAAAGGAAAATGTGTGTGTTGTATACTCATTTTCTGTCACATGACACTCTTGGTGGATTGTGGTTGACCTAGATGTACTTACGTTTACATGAAACAATAAGGTCACCCAAGATTGTCATTGTCATATGAATTTCTGTTTATCTAAGGCTTAGGAAGTAAATTCTGAAGATATTGGTGGATTTTAAAAAGACCATTTTATTGTAATTAAGTAGTTTCTTATTAAAGGTAGTATCATTCATTAAAAGTTTTTTCAACTTAAACTTAGAATAAATGGTTAGACAGAAATTTTGATAATAACAAAAATTTCGTACCCTGAAGAATCTTAATTACTAATAAGCAAAGGTTTTCTGGAAAATACCCCATGTAATAAAAATTGCTGAGTGACAATCATTTATTAAACTTATCTATGTGAATGGCAAGTATAGGACATATAAAATAAAATATGTTGTGAAGGAGCAGTGTCCTTGGGGGTTGACAGAGACGTGGCACTGCTGCTCTGGAGACAGAACTTTTACAGGTTAGTGAAATTAGTATTGCTTACATTCTAATTAATGAAAACTTTATTTTCAGATTCTTCAGATTGGGAATGTCCTAGTTTGCCCCTCTATCATGAGACCTGTCAAAGACCTGGGGATTTGAATGTTGACAATAAATGTCCATTTGTATCACAATCGATGACCCCACATCAGTCAGCATCCACAGACTTTGGACAGATGACCTTGATACATAAAGACAAGACTAATATTGAAGCTGTGTTTCTAATAGGGAAGGATAGGCTCCATGACCTGCATGGATCACAGCTACCAGAAAACAGAGAGAGCAAAGAAGGTAATAAAGAAACAAAAAAAGTTCAAACCTAGACCACCACTGGGGGCTTCACCATACTTCTGAGTTTTCAAAAATCATTTTGTGGCAAAATCTAGTTTTCTTTTGTCTGTGCAACACACATCATAACATAGCAAACTCTTGGCATTTTTCCTATAACCAAGGTGACATATACCTATATAAGAAGGAAAATTGGGGAGAAAGAGTAATTTCATTTAGATCAGTATTTAGCATGTGTTTGGCATTGGGTACCAAGATTTTATTTAGAACTCTAAGACTAGATGGAAAAACTAGGTAGAGATTTAAAGATTGCCAACAGACACAAAACATAGTTTCTTAGCTTTTTTTTATAGCTCTGAATTCACAAATATTAGTTATCACAATATTCAGTGTAACTGAAAAAGCACCTTTTGAAGCCAAATATTAAATTTCTTGTGTGTTTTATGATTTTATATATTTTAGAATAAGCTTTTCTAGCAGTAATGGGTATCTTTGAGAATTTGCTGTATAGTACTTCCTCTAAGTTGTATCCATGGAGTGTGTCACCTTAAAAATTTTTTTGATGAATAAATAATTCACAAGAAATGTTGTTTTAAAGGAGAGCTGTATCACTTAAAAACAACATATGGAAAACCAATTTTAATTTTGCTATGATACTCATTCTATGGACTGACTATATCTAATATGTGTTTTACTTAATGAATCATTAATTTAGGGCCCTTTATCAGTCATATGATCAGGTCTGCAGTTATAAAACATACAGTATTTTTTCACCTCTATAGTTTCACATTCTTTCCTTTTCTTAACTCTGGAATTAACATTGTCTTTACAAAAAGACCTTCAATTATCTCCTAAAGTAGTGGCTGCAAGCTATAAATTTAAAGTTATTTACATATGTATACAAGTGTTTTATTTCTTTAGGTGCTTGGTAAACACATACCCAAGGTCCCTCAACACAGAAATATGTAAAACATAAAAACTACAAAAGGAATTGAAGCAACTTAACAGAGTTCACATAGTTCATTTCACTTCTTAGTTGATAACTCTGTAAAGCCATGAGCAGAGCCTAGTTTTCCAGGTACCCGGGATTTATTCATCTAGTCATAGAATAAAGATTTATTCTGCAGTGGGTGCATTTAAATATTTACATCTTAAATATTTCTAGAACATTGCCTTAGGCCTGGCCTGTATCATCTATATTTTACATTATTGCCTGCTAAATTGTCTCCTATTTATTCATATGCCCCTCCAATTCATCACTACCACAGCATTTAGAATGATCAACTTCCAAAGTATATTTGACCGTGAGCCACTGGTTGAACCATATTGCTGTCCAGGCATCCTAAAATTACATATATGTCTTTTATGATCTGACTTCTACCTAACTTTCCATCTGTAGAGCTTTCTACGGTCTGCCTTTCCTCTAGAATTACTGAACTGCTGGTCATGCCTGCCTCACCATCTATGTTAGACAAACTTTATGCTGTTGTATGCTTCTCCCCCTGTCTTCATAGCACAGCCTTGCATGCTCTCTGCCTTTCCTGCCCTCTACCCCTTTGATTCTGGCTAACCTCATAGTTTAAGTCTCAGCAGAGGCATTATCTCTAAAAAAGCCATTTTTGACACCTCCTGTCTTTAAACCCCAGTGCTGAGTCCTAAAAGATGAAAGATATTTGTCAAATACTAGGAAAAACATTTCCGATATAAAAAAGGGTGTACACTGATAAAAACATTAAAATTAACAGTAATTTTGGAAACCATAAATAATGATGCAGTTGAAGCTTAGAGTGTTTTAAAAATAAATGAGCAGTTATATTGTGACTTTATATGTTGTACTGTGTTTCCAAATTTTGTTTTATTTTTGATTGTTTTTTTATTGATGTTGCATGAATATGAATTTGTGAATGAATTTCTGAGGTGTTTGTATGCCTTGAACATTATGACATCTATTATTTCCTAAATAGTTTGTTAAAGTTTTAGATAATTAGAAGTATCTTTTTAAAGAGGTAAATATTCAGCTAAGGGTTAAGTTTAACTTAATTTCTCAATTCATAAAATGTTATTTTCCATTTTTCATAAAGATTTATAAATTTAACTAATATATAGATTTGTCAGCAGAACTAGACTTATCAATAACATCAGAGGAAGAGCAAGAAAGACTTGATGGAAGCCAACATAACTACCCACAGGTACATAAAAATTTAATTTGAATTTTTTGGTATAATATCATTTTCTAGGATTTCATAAGGAATCATAATTCAATTGAAATTAACTTTCAAGCTACCCATTTAGAGTTAATAAATCATAATTGATGATTTAGTTTTATAACATTTTACCTAGTTATAAACTTAAAATAATGTTTGAATTTACAGTAACTTAGAGCTAAGCTTTTTCCTTGGAATTGTTCTGAATATTGTTGGCTTCTGTCATTTTTATAACTTCCATATAAGATAAAGAAGGTAACATCAAATATCGAATCATATGGTTAAAAGATGAAATTATGAACAATATAAAAATGATGGCCTTTAGGTTAGATACATGTGAAAGGAGTCATCATCCTCAGTGATTCCAAATTTGTAGGTTGATATTGCTAGTCACTAATGTCACGGTTAAAATTTATTCTGTCTTGTGATCTCTGTGTAATTGACTTCATAATCTATAGTCATGGAGAAAATGGGGTCATAAAATCAACTCAACTGACTCTTAAGAGAATCACAGCTTCCAGGATGGAATCTTTTTTTTTTTTTAGAGTATAAACATTTTATTACAGTATAGGAAATTAGTAATATTATAAAAAATTTTATCCACTCTTATTTGTGGATGTTAGAATATATTAGAATTGGATACAACAGATAAGTATATCAGTAAATAACACTATCATAGTATATAATTGAATTAAAATTGAGGAACTTGCTTTTCTTTCTGATCGATGTTAATAATAATTTAAAGTTTGCTCCTTCTCCAGTTGTTAATCTTTGAAAAAACCACTCCTTAAGATATGGTGAGGTAAAATGTTTTAAATGAGGACGCTTTTGTAACATTAATAATCATTGACTCATTTTTGGTGGATTTAATATATAATAAGTTGTTTAGTTCAAATAGGGACAAAATTAGGCGTGCCAGTTCATGATTTTGTCCTAATTTAGACTAAGGCAGGTTATTTTTCACTTCTTAGTTACAATCCAGTGATTTGGGAGTACCTAAACATGGTTTTAAAATTTTAACTGTTAAATTTTAAAGATATTCTAATATTCCTTTGTCCATTCACGATTCCTCAAGGATCAAGTCATTTCACAAACATGTACCCCGTCAGGAAAGACATTTGAAAATCAAACCAAGCAAATTAGTCTTCCACTTTTGCATCTGCAAAAAATGTCTCAAGGATCAGACATGAATAAGGAATGTGATAAAGATGATATGTCTGCATATTCAGGACATCTTTATGTGCAAAGGGTTGAGGAAATGTGGATCAAACAAGGTAACTTAGAGTGGAAAAATCAGTCAAAACTCGTCCCAAATGAGTTAAAGCAGACTTCTGGTGAAATTTGTGGAAAATACAAAACTACTGGTTGTCCTGAGGAAGAGCCAACACATGACAACTCTAAAGAAGGAGCAAGCTTAAGAGAAATACCTTCTAATTTGCCAAATAATATACTTCATTGTGAGGGAAGAGATGCATTTGGAGAGTCCATCTCTGCAGCATTCCAGGCATTTCCTGAACAAGAAGAACCCCATGTCGAAAATGTCTTTCCATCTCATTCAGGCTCTGGGTCCCTGGGATATGCTTTCCGGTCATCTTCTAAGCTTTGTTTAAATGAAAATAAACTACAGCTTGAGAATGAGAACAAATCAGACTCTGAGCATGTTTTTAATGAAAATAAGGAGAATTTCTACAGTGATTCAGAAAATAAAAATAGGAACCCAGGGGTTACACTGGAAGTGAAAGAGGACCAAGAGTTTGATATGCAGATGACAAAAGACATGAACCCAAACATCACTGACTGGAAATTCAGCGTCAAACACACTCATCAGTCTAGTGATCCACAAAATCTTCTAGATTTGGGTTTTGCTGACTTCAATGAAGTGAAACACACGATTCAAATTAAAAGGCACACTATTTCTGCTGTTACAAATACTTGTAAGGAAACAAAACCTAATCAAGATCTCCTCCAGAAGCCATCACTTGCAGATAATTGCAGCGCTAATGGCTGTAAAAGCTTGGAAACTGAATTAGAAAATGTAAGTTATGTGCTACGGTAGCACTCTACTTTGTTATCATCAAAATTACTAGTTATTAGATTTCATGTTTTGTTCCTAATGCATGCATGCTCAAATATTGGACCCTCAAATTAATCTGAAATCCGAAGTATTTCATCACATGGCAATTTGTTCCACATCCTATATAAATATTTCAGTATATTGAGTAAAACCTATTATATATGTATATAATTTTATCAACACTCTCAGTTGCTTTTGTTAAGTCAAATCTATATATTATGTTGTTTAATAAAGTATGGTGCATTTTGACATGCATGATTTTATCATAGAGGAAGCATAAACCCTATGCAAAATTTTCAGTATTTAGCTCTAAAGGAGAAAACTGAGTTTTGTGGTGCATTGACTTTTTAAGACAGACAAATTTGAGATATTCTCCTTCCAAAGACAAAGTGGATGAGCTCTCCCCCCTACACTAAGGCATTAAATGACTTTGCAAAAGTCACACTTTTAATTATCTCATTCAGCATTGGAGAGTTGTATCACCTCTTTCGGTGCCATTAAATGCTAGGCAATGTATCTTTAGTAGCTTTGGACGAATTATATATGCTTTCTTGATTTCATTCCCATTGTTGGTAAATATGGCCTGAAGTAGATACTTACTTCTAGACCCTCTTTCTATATAATTTTATGGCATTGAATGTGAATTTGGGGGAGCATTACTCATTTTCCAGAATTCTACATTAGCTAACGACTTAATCAGATTCACTCAGCTTCTGTGTTATGGTAAACTTTGGATCATCTATTTTATGAATAACACCACGTCTTTGATCTTCCCACAAACTAAAAGAAAAACTAATTGGAAAAGGCAGAAAGAGGAAGCACAATATCACAGCCCCTAAATCTGGCTGTCTAATGCAGAATCAAGGTGGTGAAAACAGAAGAGAACAAATTTTGTGCCTCTGTCTTTTCATTTCTCTGTCTCTGCTAGTCAAATATGGGGTGTGTGTGGATGTTATGCATCACTGAGTAAATGTGAACAAGAGCACAAAGTTAAGAAAGCCTTTTCTGACATGTTGGAAAATTCTGCTTCCTCTACTGAAATAGAAATGAAGCAGAATTTACAAAAACTTCAATGATATGTAATAATAAAGTAAGCACAAAAATGTTTCTATTGATGAAAGTCATGACAATGAAACTCAGAGCCAAATGATAAAATTAATGAAAATAGAAAGGGTCTTTATAATGAAGAAAGTAATAGCAATTATTCTTAATATCGATCTTTCATTGAAGCTTGTAGAAGAAAGGAAGAAGCACAAAAATAGTGACATGGAAGTAACAGAAAACATACGTAATGCTGCTGCTAAAGACAACGAGGGATTAATTCAACACAGAAAGAATGGGAAAACTGATAACGAGCAATTTTCTATTATGGAAAAAGAAGATTCTGATAGGTAAGCCTATAACAATAGGTAACAGTCAATAATTGTTATTTTCCTATAAAACAAATTTTAATTTGAGTTCATATTCATAATTAACAAATTTTACATTTTTACTAGGGACATTCAGCCTTGTCTGGTAATTAGAAACATGTAAATTAACAATGAAATGCCATTTTGAAGTCAAAATGATAAATGTTTTTAAAAAATAACAACCAGGGTTGGCAAATGGGAGAAAAGAGCATTCTCATATACTGTTGGTAGATGAAATTGATACATCTTTTTGGAAATACCAGTAATTTAGCAGTGTGTTTCAAAATTTCAAATATGTCATCCCTTCAACTGAACAGCTTCATTTCTGGAACTAGATCCTACAGGAAAACAGGATTTGTGTAAACACACACACACACAATCTAAGGGAATTTCTTATATATTATTATGCACATAAAGCATACAGTAGGTCATTATACATACTCTATACAGTTTGACATAAGTTAAGAATATATAATATGTATATATGCATTAAGGATATTTATATAAATATGTTACATCTATATATGTTAAGAATATTTATTATAAACTATGTTTCAAAAAGTTGAAGGTGTCTAAATACCTATCAATAAGGAAATAAACTATTATAACCATAAGATAATGTAGTATACAACCATTGGGAAAAAATGAAGTTAAGTCTACAGTATGCTAATCATTTCACAATTAAAGTATATTTAAGGCATTTGGTTTTATGTCCTGTCCTAACCAAATTTTGTTGGAATACCTTTAATATCTGCTGAGTTTCAACAGTAAGTTATTTGCTATAGTAGCGCTCTTCTTTGATACCATCAAAATTGCTAGTTATTAGATTTTTGTGTTTTGTTCCTAATGCGTGTGTGCTCAAATATTGGCCCTTCAAATTAATCTGAAATCCAAAGAATTTTACATGGCAACCTGTTCCACATCCTATGTAAACATTTCAGTATATTGAGTAAAATCTATTAAAGCACATCAAGGGATCGATTTGCTACATCAGGTTTTGAGATACTTTTCTGTGAAAAGCCAGATATTTTAGGCTTTGTGGACCATCTGGTCCCTTTTCTTGCAGTCTGAAATCTGTTATAAACAATAGGTAGATTAATGTCTCTTCACTGCCATATCCTCAGTGCCGTGAAGAAGGCCTAAAGTACTCAAATATTTACTGAGTAAATGAAGTTAAACATATGTGTATTGTTTTACATGTTATGCTAATTCTCACTTAAACAAGACACAAGTTTGATGTGGGCTCATTTTGACAATTTTACCTGTCAATTATGTGCATTTTATAAATTCTTTTTGGCTCTTTCTAATAAGCTATATTCCCTCCTTGACTGGTTTCCCATTTAGGGAGAAAAGCCCAAGACTGTTTACTCACCTATTCTTTTACTGGTATTTATAATAGTTTTAATTACTGAAAAAATGGATCAAAGTAGTAGCATTACTTTTTCTTTTTTTTATTAATTATTTTATTTTTATTATGGTGACATTGATTAATGAAATTCAGTAACTTTCACTTGTAAAATTCAACAGTAAAGCATATATATATTGCATTGTGTTCACCGCCCATCTATTTCATTCTGTTACCACATATTTGACCCCTTCTACCATGTCTACCTCCCCTCAAACCCCCTAATCCCAGTTAATCACTAGTCTATTGTCCATGTCCATGAGTCTCTATTTGTTTGCCCTGTTTGTTTGATGCTTTTAGGTTTATATCCCACATATAAGTGACATCACATGGTTTTCAACTTTTTCTATCTGACTTATTTCACTTAGCATGATTATCTCGAGATCCATCCACATTGTCACAAATGGTAGTATTTCATTTCTTCTTATGGCTGAATAATATTCCATTGTATATGTACCACAGCTTCTTTATTCAATCTTCTATTGTAGGACACTTCGGATGCTTTCATGTCCTGGCCACTGTGAATAATGCTGCTACGAACATCAGTGTGCAAATATCTTTTCATATATGGGTTTTTAAGTCTTTGGAGTAAATACCTAGTAGAGGGATTGCTGGATCATATGGGTAGATCAATTCTTAGTTTTTCGAGGAACCTCCATACTGTTTTCCATAGTAGTTGTACCAATTTGCAGTCCCACCAGCAGTGTATGAGAGTTCCTTTTTCTCTACATCCTCTCCAACATTTGTATGACTTGTTCTGTTGATTATAGCTATTCTAACAGGTGTGAGATGGCATCCCATTGTGGTTTTGATTTGCATTTTCTTAATAGCTAATGATGTTCAACATCTTTTCATATGTTTGTTGATCATTTGTATGTCTTCTTGGGAGAAGTGTCTGTTCAGGTTCTCTGAATTTTTTTAAATTGAATTGTTTGGTTTTTTTTTGTTTTGAGTTGTATGTGTTCTTTCTATATTTTGTACATTAGAGACATTGTTTGCAAATATATTTACCCATTCAGATGATTGCCTCTTTACCTTGTTGATGGTTTCTTTTGCTGAGCAGAAGCTTTTTAGTTTGATGCAGACTCATTCATTTATTTTTGTTTTTGCTTTCCTTGTCGTTGAGGTCAAATCATAAAATCCTCTTTATGTCCAATGTTCATCAGTTTAGTTCCTATGTTTTCTTCTATGCAATCTATTGTTTCAGGCCTCATATTCAGGTCCTTAATCCATTTTGAGTTCATTTTGATGTCTAGTTTCATTTTATATAGGTAGCTTTCCGGTTTTCCAAACACCATTTATTGAAGAGGCTCTTCTTTCTCCACTGTATGTTCTTTTGTCGAAAATTATTTGCCCACATAAATATAGGTTTACTTCTGGACACTTAATACCATTTCACTGGTCCATGTGTCTGTTTTCCTGCCAATACCATGCCATTTTGATTACTGTCTCTTTGTAGTATAATTTAAAGTCGGGCAGAGTAATTCCAACAGCCTTGTTCTTTTTTCTCAGGATGACTTTGGCAATTCGGAGTCTTTTGTGCTTCCATACAAATCTGATGATTTTTTTTGTTCTATTTCTTTTAAAAATGCTGATGGGATTTTGATAGGTATTGCATTAAATTTGTATAATGCTTTCAGTAATATGGTTATTTTAACTACGCTGATTCTTCCAATCCAAGAACACGGAATATCTTTCCATTTCGTTGTCTCTTCTTCAATTTTTCTAACAAGGTCTTATAGTTTTCATTATATAGGTCCTTCACATGTTTCATTAGATTTATTCCTAAGTATTTTATTCTTTTTGTTGCAATTGCAAAAGGAATTATTTTTTCCACTTCTTTTTCTGACACTTCATTCTTAGAGCATAGGAACGCTATGGATTTTTTGAACACAGATTTTTGTACTCAGAAACTTTATTTGCTTATTGTTTCTAGTAGTGTTCTTGTGGAGCCTTTAAGGTTTTCCATATAGAGAATCATGTCATCCACAAATAGTGACAGTTTGATTTCTTCGTTTCCTATTTGGATGTCTTTTATATCTTTCTCTTGCTTGATTGCACTTGCCAGGTCCTCCAATGTTATATTGAACAACCGTGGCGATAGTGGACAGCCTTGCCTTTTTCATGATCTTAGAGGGAAGGTTTTTAGTTTTTCAACGTTAAGTATTGTATTGGCTGAGGGTTTTTCATCTATGGCCTTTATTATGTTAAGGTACTTTCCTTCTATACCAATTTTGTTAAGAATTTTGATCATAAATGGATGCTATGTCTTGTCAAAGTCTTTTTCTACATCTATTGATATGATCATATAATTCTTATTATTCAACTTGTTTATGTGATGTATGATATTAATTGATTTGTGTATGTTGAACTATACCTGTGTCCCTGTAATTGAGCCTATTTGATCATGGTTTATAATCTTTTTAATATGTTGCTGTATTTGGTTCACTAGCATCTTATTTAGGATTTTTGCATCTCTGTTCATGAGAGATATTTGTCTATAGTTTTCTTATTTGTGTTATCTTTATCAGGTTTTGGTATCAAGGTAATATTTCTCTTATAAAATGAGTCAGGAAATATTGCCTCCTCTTCAACTTTTTGGAACAGTTGGAGAAGAACAGGTATTAAATCTTTGAATGTTTGGTAGAATTCACTGGTGAAGCCATCTGGTCCTGGACTTTTTACCTTTTGGTAGGTTTTTGATGATTGTTTCCATTTCCATACTGCTGATTAGTCTATTTAAATTTTCTAGTTCTTTTTGATTTAGTCTAGAAAGGTTTTATCTTTCTAAGTACTTGTCCATTTCTTCTAGGTTATTAAATTTGGTGTTATATACTTTTTTCATAGTATTCTCGTATGATCCTTTGTATTTCTGTGATGTCAGTCATAATTTCCTCTCTTTCATCCCTGATTTCGTTTGTGTCCTTTCTCTGTTTTCTTTAGTGAGTCTAGCCAGGAGTTTGTCAATCATATTAACCTTCTCAAAGAATCAACTCTTTGTTGCATTTATTTTTTTCTATTGTGTTTTTGTTTCAATTTCATTTATTTCTGCTATAATTTTGATTATTTCTTTCTTTCTGCTGATTTTAGGCTTCATTTGTTCCACTTTTCTAGTTTTTTAAGGTGAAGAGTTAGGTTGGTTTTGGGGGGCTCATTTTTGTTTTTGGAGATAGGCCTGTAATGGTATGAACTTTTCTCTTATGACTACTATTGCTGTGTTCCAAAAGTTTTGATATGTTGTACTATCATTATCATTCATTTCTATGTATCTCTTGATCTCTCTTTTTATTTGTTCTCTGACCGGTTATTCTTCAGTAGCATGTTGTTTAATCTCCATGTATTTGTGGTTCTTCCTGCTTTCTCTTTGCATTTGATTTCTAGTTTCAAAGCATTATGATTAGAGAATATAGTTAATATAATTTCAACCTTCTTTGAGGTTATCACTGTGTCCGAGTATGTGGTCAATCCTTGAGAATGTTCCATGTGCACTGGAGAAGAATGTATAAGCAGCTGTTTGGGGATGGAAGGCTCTGTAAATGTCAATTATGGCCAGTTGTTCTAATACATCATTTAAGGATGCTATTTCCTAATTGATTTTCTGTTTGGATAATCTGTCCATATCTGACAGTGGGGTATTTAGGTCCCTTACTGAGATAATATTTTGGTCGGTCTCTCCCTCTAGTTCTGTTAGTAATTGCTTTACATATTTCAGAGCTCTCTGATTGGGAGCATAGATATTAATAAGTGTTATGTCTTCTTGGTGCATGATTCCCTTTATCATTATGAAGTATCCCTCGGTATCTTTCCTTAACTTTTTTAGTCTGAAGTTTATTTTGTCTGATATTAGTACTGCTACTCCTGCTTTTCTCTGAATGCCATTTGCTTGAAATATCATTTTCCACCCTTTCACTCTGAGTCTGTATTTGTCTTTGGAGCTGAGATGTGTCTCCTGGAGGCAGCATATGGTTGGATTTTGTTTTTCGATCCATTCTGCAACTCTGTGCCTTTTATTGGTGAGTTCAGGCCATTTACATTTAGGGTGATTATTGAAATATGAGGTCTTCTTATTGCCATTTTTATCTTTTGCTTTCTGGTAGCTTGGTGTTTCCATTGCTTCCTTGCCCTTGTGTTTATGTTTTCTTTATTTTGGTTGGCGTTTGTGGGTCAATGTAATTTTTTAAAAGAGTCTAATTTATTACTTAGAGGTCAGAGAAATAAAACTAATTTTCTCAAATCAGCCTTTATATAACATATATACAGTATATATAATATACATACAGTATTTCCTTTTCTTCTCCATGTGCCTTATCTCCATTCCCCTTTTCCAATTCGGATCTTTGAATTCTCCCCTTTTCTGTTATTGTTGTCTCAATTTGTCCCTATATGTTCTTAACATTCCTAAGTACCTTGCAATAGCAAATCTCATCTTATGTTTAAGCTTATAAGGCCCTGTTCTTAGTAAGGGTTGCGCTCCTCTACTATCTGTCTACTAGTCGCTTTACTCATGGTTATGTATTTTTTGTCATTTTAGGTGAGCTGACCCCTTTCGGTATTTCCTATAATGTGGGTCTCGTACTGGAGAATTCCTTCAATTTTTGTATGTCTGGAAAGGTCTTAATTTCTCCTTCATATCTAAAGGAGAGCTTTGCTGGATACATTATTCATGGCTGGTTGTTCCTTTCATTTAATAGTTTGAACATTTGATTCTACTCCTTTCTGGCTTGTAAGGTTTGTGCTGAGAAGTCTGACAATAATCTAATGGGTTTTCCTTTATAGATGACCGTCTCCTTTTCCCTGGCTGCCTGAGAATTATTTCTTTGTTGTTGATTTTTGATAATTTTAATACAACGTGTCCTGGAGAAGGCCTTTTTGGTTTGAGATAATTGGGTGCTCTGTTGACTTCTTGAATTCCAAGCTCCAGCTCATTCCTTAGATTTGGGAAATTCTCATCAACTATTTGTCTGAAAATGCTTTCTCATCCCTGCTCCTTTTCCTCACCTTTGATAATGCCCATTATTCTTATGTTTCATCTCCTGATGGTATCAGCTAGTTCTTCTATTTCTCTTTCATTATTTTTCATTCTTTGGTCTCTCTCTTCTTCCTTCTGATTTATTTCTAGATTTCTGTCTTCAATATCACTGATCCTTTCCTCCATTTGGTTGACTCTATTTCCCAAGCTTGCTATTTCATTCTTCATCTCTTTTAATGTGTTCTTCATCTCCAGAAGTTCTGTTTGGTTCTTTTTGAGGGTTTCAGTCTCCTTGCTGAAAAACTCATTCTGCTGATCTATTTGTTTCTCTAATTCCTTGTATTGTTGATATGAATTATTTTGGATCTAATTGAGTTTTTTCAGAAGTATTCAGAAGAATTCTCTTGTCATTTAAGTTTCATATTTCTATGTTTGTAAGCTTATTTTCTGGAGATTTTTCTCTTTCTTTCTGAGATTCCTTGTCACCTTGATTGTTCATGGTGTTTAATGGACTATTTCTCCATCTGGGCATTAAAGGATGCATATTCTGCTTTTTTCCAAAAAGATTTATTATATAGTGGTCTCTTTTTAGCCTGTTGCTAAGAAGGCATTTTTCTTTTGGTTTCCAGTAGTTGGCATTTAAGCCTCTTGGGTCCTTGCTTTATATAAAGCTTAATAATACCTTTTTTTCTCATAGATATTCAATCACACTCGTTACCCTTAGTCTCAGTCCCCTTCGTTGTTTACGACAGTTTTGGTAGCATTTGCTCAGATTCCCCTGGTGCTACACGGTGTTAGGCCTTGGAGAATATGGAGGGAGGTGCCTCTGGTGGGGGGTTAGGCGCTGTGGCTCAGCCTCGCATCTTGCAACCCCGGATTGTAGTAATCAACTATTGCTCCCCTGCCTTCACCACTTCTCTGCTTTCTGCCCTGACCCCTGGGCACTACTGCTATGTGGAGCTCACAGCACTCCCAGGCAGCACTGCTCAGGGAACCCACTGCACCTTCTCTCCTCCTTACCTTCTCCCATACCCCTCCTCCTGCTGAGAGTTTCAGTTGTGAAAGGTAGCTACTTTGTTTCTTTCAGTCTACCACCTGACTCCTGCAGTTCTGACCTGCGGTAGCTCTTATTCACAGATCTCTCCCTCTACATGGTTTTGTGCAGGTTGGGTGTTTTTTGTTGAGTTTTAGATGTTCAGCTTATTGTTGTTTCAAGGGGAGGGATCTGGGCACATCTCTTACTCCACCATGTTCCTGACATTACTCTTATATTAGCATTAGATACAAGGCTAAAAGTATACAAAAATTACCTGATCACATCATTTACAAACAAAATCATAACAAATGAAATTATTGCTATTTTTGAACTATATATAATGACATATGGCTATATCAAAAATTTGGAACTTAACTTTTTTCCAGCTTTATCGAGATATGATTGACATATACCCTTGTCTTATATGTTTAAGTCATACAGTATGTTCACTTGATGCACTTATGTTGCTAAATGGTTACCACAGTAACATTAGTTAACATTTCCATCACTTCACATAATTATCATTCCTTTTTTGTGGTGAGAACATTGAGATCTACTCTCATAGCAACTTTCAAGTATATAATATATAATATTGTTAACTATAAACACTATGCAGTACATTAGATTCCCCAGAACTTATCATCTTATAACTGGAAGTTTATACCCTTTGACCAACATTTCCACATTTCCCCTATGCTTCCAGTCCCCAGCTACCACCATTCTACTCTCTGATTCTATGAGTTCAGCTTTTTTCAATTCCACATACAAGCGAGATCATACACTATTTGTCTTTCTCCATGTGACTTATTTACTTAGTATAATGCCCTCGAATTTTATCCCTATTGTTGTAAATGGCAGGATTTCCTTCTTCATGGCTGAAAAAGATTCCATCAAATCTGTGTGAATGTGTATATATACACACAGACAGACAGACTATATCTTCTTTATTCATTCATGTATCAATGTATACTTATTTTTAACATGTCTTGGCTATTGTGGATAATATTGCAGTAAACATAGGAGTGTAGATATCTCTTTGAGATCCTGATAAGAGAGAGATGGAATGTTCTGTAAGCGTCAGGTCCATGTGGTCTAACGTATGATTCGAGTTTTACAATGTGCTTGTTTTATGTCTGGTTGATCTATCCATTGCTGAATGTGGGGTACTGAGATCTACTTTTATCGTATTGTTGTCTATTTCTACCTTTAGATTGGTTAGTATATGGGATAAGCAATAGAGAAATGGATGATGACTAAGGAAGAATGTGGAGTTTAAAGGAGGTTTATTCATTTGTTTTTCTTATTTAAGATGAGAGCTTTTAGACTGTGTTTATATATTGTTGGAAATGATCCAGTAGAGTACATGTTTACTAAATTTAATTTTGTTTGCATTTTCAAGTATTAGAGAACTGGTTGATTGAATTATATTATCTTGCAAATATACCAAACTAATTGTCGTACTTTTATTCATATAGAAGTAGATTCTGTTCATATAGAAGTATAGAAGTAGATTCTGGGGAAAAGAGGAAGATTTTATTTACATACAATAGAAACATAAACTATTAACAATCTATTCTTGATTGTTATTTTTGGCTTATCAATTTCTAAAGTATAAAAACCACACTTTCTCTACCAACAGTGTTAGTAACACATATTGTGTGCTCAATAAGTATATGTCAAATGTGTGAATAAACAGTTGAATAGATGAATGAATGCCCATTGGGGAATTTGTTTAGAAAAAAAAGCATTTTTAGTTTATTGAAATAATATGTCGATATTGCCCACATATAAAACCTTTTAATTTTTCTTTTAAAAGAGTGTAATATTCAGAAATTGTTATTTATAATTATAGCTAGAAATGGAATAATGCTATTGATTCATTTGCTATTATAGTCCTTCAAAAATACTTCAAAATAAATAGTACTTTCCAAGCATAATGTGAAACATATGTTTTGAAGCCAGATGTCCTTGGTTTGAATTCTTGTTCTACTATCAACCAGCTGTATGGACTTGGAAAAGTTCTTTAGCCTTTCTGTGTCTTATTTTCTTACTTTGTAAAGTACCGAAACTATTGCCTACCTCCCAGAATTTTTTTAGGATTAACATGCCCTTAAAACATGTAAAGTGCCCATAATAATGCCTAATAGTTGCCTGATAAGTCCTCAAAATCTAATATCATAATTATTAAAAGAATTTACTTCATATAAGTAGTTAAGTAATATTTTCCAAATAGAAGTTAGTACCAGTAAATGCATTTTCTTAAAAAAATGAAAATGATAATAAAATACACTGGTATAGTGCTTCTTCTTATCTAACAATGCAAGTAACAACCATTATGTTTTTCCTTTGGCTTTGTCTGTCAGCTTGATCTAAATTTAATATTTTGTGTTACTATTATTAGCAGTATATTTTCTTTGTCCCTTAATGTTATTCTTTTAATATATTGTTTATCCCCCTTAGAGAAAATTAGCTACAAATGCAGAGATTTTATATAAGGAACAATAGGTTTAGATAGTCTTTATATTTTAAGTATTTAATATTTGCTTGAAAAGAATTATTTATTTCTCTAGGTCTGCAAAGAAAACATCTAATGAAGAGAACAAGGTATTGTAAAATATAAATTATCAAAAATATTACCTGTAGCAAAAAATATATATTGTAAAAGACATAGCGAAAAATAGAAAATCTTTCTTTGTTGTAGAGACATTTACTTTGAAAAAGTAATTTAGTACACTCATTATTGATAAAGGTCTCTTTTTGCTAAAAATCAGTTCTTTTAAGAATGCCTGTGTTTTTGATTTTATAAAAAGGTGGATATTTATCACTTCTGTACACTTAGTATATATTGTCAACATTTCGGGGACATTTCGAATAACAGTATTATTTATTTGTAGGTCAAAGAGCAAATTAATTCCGTGGATGACCTCCAAGATTTAACTCAGTGTTTTGAAACAGTAGCAGAATATTGCAAGTTGCCTTACTTTAATTATCAGAAATCTGAACAACTTGGCACGGATTATAAAGGTAGGACCATACTATAAATATAAAGCTTTGGTATGTATTCGGTAGTAATATAAGCACACCTTGTCTGCTATTGCACCATAGATCATGGATGTGTTGTAGAGCTTTTTATCTTTTGTATTTTTTAGAAACATGTTTTCTATTAAAATAAAATGAGAGCAATTATATATGATCAGCCTAGGAGCTATGAGCATCTCCACTGCACTTTTCTCAGTGTGAATGGCCATGCTTAGTGTGTTCACTGACTCTGCTTCTCTCCTATGCCTTCACTCAAGGTCAAGTTTCAATGATTTCTACCCTAGAATACTGAAATAACCTGAGAACAGTTTTCCCTGACATTCTGCCTCCTAGAACCTTGGTCTACATTGCAAGCAGCATTATTAAATATTTTAAAAATTTCAGATCTCAAATCGTTACTCCATTGCTTAAAACCCAGCTATTACTTCCCTTTGCTATAAGCAAAGTTAAAGGTCACAACTCTTTATTTTCATTTTGTATCATTTCATAACCTTCTTTCTAGTTGTGTCTTAGCCATTGTCTGATATGCTTTTTCCTGTTACAGAGCTTTTTTGTTATCAATAGCTTTGGTTAGGTAAACTACATGTATATGAAGTGTATATTTCAATAGCTTTGACGTTTGTATACACATATGAATCCATCACCACAATCCAAATAGTTAACCTTTCCATCACCCCAAATGTCTCCTCATACCTCTTTATATTCCTTATTAAGAGACTGACTAATGGTTTTCTAAAATAATTATACTACTTTCCATTCCCACCAGCAGTACATGAGAGTTCCAATTCCTTCACATCTTCACAAAATTTCGTATTGTCAGTTTTTAAAATCTTAGCCATTCTGATGGATGTGTATACAATTACAGTTTTTGTATGCATTTTCCTAATAATGATGATAATTTTGAGCGTTTCATGTGTGTATTTGTCATCTGTCTTCTCTATACTGTCTCTCTAAACTTTTGCCATCTTAAAAATTAGGTTAGAGCATTCTTTATATATTCTGGATACAATTCCTTTATCACCTATATTTTTTGCAAGGACTTCCTCCCAGTCTGTGGCTTGTCTTTTCATTCTCTTAACAGCGTCTTTCATAGAGTGGAAGTTTTATTTTTCTTTTGATGAATTCCAATTTATCCTTTTGTTTTATTATGAATTTTGTTTTTGGTGTTTATATTGAAGAAATCTTTGCCTAGCACAAGGTTGCAAAATTTTGCTCCTATGTTTTTTGTAGACTTTTATGGTTTTAGGTTTTTCATTTATATTTATGATCCATTTTGTGTTCTCTTTTACATGTGATGCAAGATATGGATCCAAGTTCATTCTTTTGGGTATGAATATCTAATATTTCCAGCACCAATTGATGAAAGGCTCTATTTTCTCCCACTTCATGCCACTGTGCCTTTGTCAAAATCAGTTAACCATATATGTGCGTGTTAATTTCTGTCTTATTGATGTATTTGGCCATCTTTACATCAACTGCATGGTGTTTTAATGATTTTAGGTTTATAATAGTTCTTGCAATTAGGTAGTGTTAGTCCTTCAATGTTCTTTTTCATAGTTATTTTGCTCTTCTAGATTCTTTATATTTCCACATGAATTTTAAATCAGGTTATCAATTTCTAAAAAAGAAAATCTGCTGGTGTTTTTGCAATTAGATTTGAATTATGAGATCTGATGACTCTCAGATTAATTTGGGGGAGAATTGACTTCTTAACAATATTGAATTTTCAACTGCCGAACAAAGTATATGCCTCCATTTATATAGGCATATACATAATTTTTAATTTTCTTTAATTTTTAATTTTCTCAGTAAAATTTTGTATTTTTTAGTGTATAGGTCTTTCCACCTTTTGTGATATTACTCTTATTTTTTTACTTTTTCAGTGAAGTTGTAGACAATATATCTCGAATTTTAATTTCTGATTGTTCTCTGCTAATAAAGAAATACAGTTGATTTTTTTTATATTGATGCTCTATTCTTCAACTTACTGAAATCAGTTATTAGTTCCAGTTGCTTTTTTGTAGATTTTGTCAAAATTTCTACGTAACCAAAGGTTGTCAATCTTTCTTTCTAAAATGACTGTTTTACTAAAGATTTGTAAGCATTTAAGACTTGTGGCCATTTTATTCTCTGTCACAACTAATCAGCTCTGCCATTGTACCATTAGAGTAGCCAAAGACAATACATAAGTTAATGTACATAACTGTATTTTTGTCCAACTGTGTTTACTAAAACAAGCAACCTGACCCACTGGTTAGAGTGTGCTGATTCCTATTCCGTGATCATGTTTTCTGCTAACAAAGACAGCTTTCTTCATCCTTTCCCAGATGGATGTCTTTTGTTTCTTTATCTTGCCTAATTGCACTGAGTAGAATCTCTAGTATGGTGCTGTAAAAAAGGAGGAAAAGCATTTATTCCCTTCTTGTTCCTGATCCTTTGGAGAGAGAATTGTCTTTCACTATACATAGGTTGTTAGCTATAGAGTTACATAGATCATCTCATCAAACTGAAGAAGTTCCCTTGTATTCCTAGTTTGCTGAAAGTTTTATCAGAAATAGATGTTGAATTTTGTCAAGTGTCTTTGTTTCACTCTACTGAATATGGTTTTTCTTTTTCAGTTTTTTTAACATAAAGAGTAACATTAACTGCTTTTTTACTTTGAATAAATGACAGCTTAATTGTGTTATAATTCATATATCATACAATTCATCAATTTAAGGAGTGCAATTGAGTAATTGAGTATTTAGTGTTTTCACAGAGTTGTACAACCATCACCACAATTAATGTTAGGACATTTTCATCACCCTCAAAAGAAACCCCAAACTCACTTGCAATTACTTTTTAAGACAAATTTAGGACTTTACTGCTAAAAAGAAATACATTTTTTCCTCACTGGGGGAGAAGGCAGGATTCAGTCTTAACATTTCTACTTTGAGAGAGTTCACATTAAACAAAAGAAAAAGCTTCATTGCTTATAGTTTTTGAATATGTGTTTAGCAAAATTTGACTTTGCCAGTGGGTGCCACAAACATATCCATCTAGTTGTACGCTTAGCGAAATAATCAGTAAAATTTATAGACTCTAACAATGAAATGTGAGTGATATTACAAATAGAAGAGGCAGCTGACGATGTACTCCTCCCTCTCCACTGGAAAAATTTCCCTCCCCATGATTATAGAATTTGTTTCTATCTTTTAATTAAAAATTATTTCAAGCTGTTGTGGAAAGATTTTTTTATTCATTAAATTTCTTAGTAACTGTTTAGTAACATAACACAAAGTTCAAGTGTACAACTTTATAATACGACCTCTGTATATTCTATTGGGTGTGCACCACTTGACATCTAGTCTCCTTCGTCAGCATGTATTTGACCCTCTTTAATTGATTTTTAAGTGTTAAAACAACCCTGCATTCCTGGGATAAACCCAATTTGGTCATGACAATTTGTTCTTTTAATGGATTCTTGGATTTGATTTGCTAATGTTTTATTTAAAATTTTTACCTCCAGGCTCATGTGGTATTTTTCTTTCTTATAATATCTCCATCTGTTTTTGATTTCAGGGTAACATTATCCTTATAGAATGTGTAGAGTTACATTTCTCAAAGTCTTCTTTTTTTTTTTTTTTGGAGTTTGCATGGAACTGGTATCATTTCCTGCTAAAATGTTTGGTAGAATTCACCAGTGTAGCCTTTGGGCCTGAAATTTTATTTATGGAGCAGTATTTAAGTAAGACTTCTGTTTCTTTTACAGCTCTAGGGCTGTTTATCTTATCTGTTCTTTCTTGATAGAGCTTTGATAATTTCTGTCTTTCAAAAAATTTACACACTTCATCTGAGTTGTCAAATTTATTTACATCCAGTTTATAAAATTACTCCATTATTCTTTTAATATTTGTAGAACCTGTAGTAATGTCACTCTACTCATTTCTGATATGGGTAATTTGTGGGTTTTTTCCTCTTTTTCTTTATCAGCCAAGATAGAGATTTGTTACTTTTATTGATCTCCTGAAAGCATTTGGTTTCATTGATTTTTGACTATTTTTTTTGCCTTATCGATTTCAACATTAATGTTTATTATTTTTTTTCTTCTGTTTCCTTTGGGTTTAATCTGCTCTTCTTTTTAAAAATAGTTTCATAGATCAAAGCCAAGGTCATTGATTTGAGACTTCTTGTCTAATATAGTTATTCAATGTTATAAATTTCCATATAAGTAGTACTGTAGCAGCATTCCACAAAATGTAATATGTTTTCATTTCCGTTCAGTTCAAAATCCTTTCTAATTTCTCTTTTCATTATTTCTTTGATCTAAGGGTTACTTAGATGTGTGTTATTTAGTTTCCAAATATTTGAGTATTTTCCAGACATATTTTTGTTCATGAGTTCCAGTTTGTATGACTAAAACCTTTTGACATACCCCTTATATTAAGATTGATTTTATAACACAGAATATACTCTTTCAGTAAATGTTCCATGAGTACTTGATAAGAGTGGTGGTGTTCAAGTCTACTATCTTCTTGATGATTTTCTGCTACTTGTTGTATCACTAATTAAATGAATTGTATTAAAATATCAGGCTGTAATTGTGAATTTGTCTATTTCTCTTTGCAATTCTATCAATTTTTGTGTCATATATTTTGAAGCTGTGATTAGGTGCATAATCATTTAGGATTGTTAATGCCACTTATTAATTTATCATTATGAAATAATTTCATTAATTGCTGGTAAATTTTTTGCTCTGAAATATACTTTGGTATTAATAATGCCACTTTAGCTCAGCCTTCTTCTGTCAAGCATTAGTGTAGTATATCTTATATCTAACCTTAAAAATATTGTCTTTATATTTAAAGTGCATTTTTTTCTGGTGGCATATAATTGGGTCTTGCTTTTTGACCCAGTCAGACAACTTGTCTTTTAAGTAAGGTTTTTAGACTATTTTCATTTAATGTGATTATTAATCTATAGTAGGCTTGAATCTGTCATCATGTAGTTTGATTTCTCTTTGTCCTGTCTGATCCTTGTTCCCATTTTCTTCTTTTGCTGTGTTCTTTTAGATTAATCGAGTAATTTTTTATGATTTAGTTCTATTTCATTTTCATTTTTCTTTTTGGTTTTTTTTTTTTTTGGCTTATTAGCTATAACTGTTTTTGCTATTTTATCAGTTACTTAAGGTTGGTTTATGCTGAATGACTTTATCACAGTCTATCTTCAAGTAACATTATACCACATCATATATACTACAAGAAAATCACAGTAGTTTACTTCTATTTCTGGATCTCTGGCATTGTATTTGTCATAAAGTCTAAACAACCTTGGCCAATTTTTCTTCAAACATTTTTCTGTCCCTCACCCCTGCTGTTGTAACTATTTGAAATTTTCTCACAATTCACAGATGTCAAACTTCCTAATCTTTTATTTTGTGATGTCTAATATGCATTTATTCTCATCAGGTGTATTTTTAATCTCTGATGTTATATTTTCATCTGTATAAGAGCTATTTGGTTTTTAATAAATAGCTTTTATGCCTCTACTTAACTTTTTGAGCTTTGTTTTGGGATATAGTTAAATTACTTGAAATGATCTTGCTCTTATAATTTGTTAGGTGAATCCAGAGCAGTGCTTGGCTGAGGGCTAACTCCTCCCCACTACTGAGGCAAGGCACTTCTCACTACTCTGTTCATTGTCTTCTTTATTATAAGTCTATTCATCCTGGCTGCTGGGAATAGACACTATTCCTGGTACTCTGTAAGCACCAAGGACTGTTTCTCATACTCTATTCAGATTTTTTTTTTCCTTCCTGGTCTCCGGTAATTTCCCTATGTGTATGCACTGTTCCTTACTCAGTTGAATACTCTCTGCAGATCTCCAGAGTTCTTCATCTGTTTCACCCTCTCCTCTCCAGTGTTCTAAACTGTGATCTCTACTTGCCTTGGTTTCACCTGCCACTCAGGTTCATCACCTAACTCAGGAAGTCTAGTGGAGTCTACCTCAGTTCCTTCCCCTGGTGTTGTGGCCTGGCATTTCCTTTAAGTCAGTAAGCTGGGACATTCCTTAGGGTAACTCCATTTGTTTCCAGAATCGTTGTCCTTCATTGCCTAAAGTCATTGTCTTGAAAAAAATTTTAATAATTTTGTCTGTTTTGTTTTTGCTTTTTTCATGTATGAAGGTATGCTTTCTTTCTAGAAGCAGATTGCAATGGAACATTGGCATATGCTGTAGACTGAGTCGAATGCCCTTCTTCCTCCATTGTCTAATTGTTTTCTGCTCATTCCATGTTTCTCAGTGTAGTCAACTCTTCCTCAGGGAAGTCTTGCCTGGGCCCAACCCAAATTAAGTTCTGTTATGTGATTGTACAATTCTGTTTTTTTATTGTATCTCTCTGAATTTATCTGTCATTCTCCTCTACTAGACTTAAAGCTAAACAAGAGCCAGGAGTCATATCTGTTTTATCCGCAGAGCTTAGTCTGATGTCTTCCACATTGTATGTGCATAGTGCTTTATACACAAAAAGGATTCATATATTTTATTTCTATTCTTGTTTTCTCACTGATGTAGATTCTCCTAGTTTATTGAATATCCAGGATGCAGTTATATCATATGAAAGACTGAAAGAGTTTAGAAACAATCACTGTGAACTCCATTCAGAAAAAATTAAAAAAATGAACACTCAGATAACTGAACTACAAAGGGATCTATCAGAAATGAAAGAAATGAAATCACAGTTAGAGCATCAAAAACTGCAATGGGAACAAGAACTCTGCAATTTGAGGTATTGAACATCTTGGTTTCAAAGAAACATTTGAATATTTACTATTTAAAAACGTTTTTAATTTTTGAATTCTAGGTGACATACATTATTTTTTAATCTGTTGAAGTGACATTGGTTAATAAAATTATATAGATTTCAAGTGTAAATTTAATAATACATCATCTGTATTGGCCTATTAGCTATAACTGTTTTTGCTATTTTATCAGTTATATCGTGTGTTCACCACATCATGTCAAATCTCCTTCAGTCACCATATATTTCACCCTCTTCACTTTATGTACCTCTACCTTATGTTCCTTTTTCTTTGGTAACCAGTAAACTGTTGTCTGTGTCCATGATTTTTGTTCGTTTATCTGTCTGTTTGTTTGTTACTTTCAGTTGTATATTCCATATATATGTGAAATCATATGGTTCTCGACTTTTACTCTCTGACTTAATTTGCTTAGCATAATTATCTTAAGCTTTATCTATGTTGTCACAAATGGCAGTATTTCATGTTTTATAAAGCTACTGAATAATATATCATTGTATATATGTACTAGGTCTTCTTTATTCTGTCAGCCATTGGTGAACACCGAGGTTGCCTCCATGTCTTGGCTATTGTAAATAATGCTACAATGTATATATGGATGCACAAGCCCCTTCTAAGCAGTGTTTTTGGGTTTCTCTGAATAGCCAGAAATGGGATTATTGGGTCGTTCTTCACAACATGTTTTTGTTTAGCCTTTGTTTTAAAGTCTATTTAGTTTGATATGAGTTATTGCTACGCCAGATTCTTTTTTAATCTTCATTTTCATGAAACATCTTTTCCCACCCCTTTACTTTGAGTCTGTGTGTTTTTTTCAGTCTGAAGTGATTCTCTTGTAGACAGTACATATAAGGGTTTTGTTATCCATTCATCCATCCCATATCTTTTGATTGGAGCATTTTATTCATTTACATTTAAAGCAATTATTTATAGTTATGAAGTTATTGCAATTTTAGTGTTCACATTTTTGCTCTCTTTTCTTCTCTTTTTTCTTAAAAAAAAAGGTCTCTCTGACATTTCTTGTATACCTGTTTAGAGATGATGAACTCTTTCAGCTTTCTCTTGTCTGGAAAGGTTGTTATCTGTCCTTCAATTCTAAATGAGAGCTTTACTTGGTAGAGTAATCTTGGCTATAGGTCCTTGCTTCTCATCACTTTGAATATTTCATGGAAGCCCTTCTGGCCTGCAAAGTTTCTGTGGAGACATCAGATGACAGTCTAATGAGAACCTCTGTGTAGATAACGAACTGCTTTTCTCTTGCTGATTTTAAGATTCTCTTTGTCTTCAATCTTTGGCATTTTAATTATGATGTGTCCTGGTGTAGGCTTCTTTGGATTCATCTTATTTGAGACTCTGTACTTCTCAGGATTGTACGTCTACTTTCTTCATCAGATTAGGTAAGTTTCTTTAGATAAGTTTTCAATTCCTTGCTCTCACTCTTCTTATTTTGACACCCCTGTTGTGTGAATATTGGTACACTTGTTGTCCTAGTGGCCACTTCAACTATTATCATTTTTTTCTATTCATTTTTCTATTTCTGTTCTGACTGGATGTTTCCTGCACCTTTGTCTTTCAAATCTCTGATTCGATCCTCTGCTTCATCTCATCAACTGTTGGTTCTTCCTAAAGTATTCTTTATTTCAGTTACTGTATTCTTCATTTCTGACTAGTTCCTCTTTGTGTTTTCCATCCCCATTTTTATATTTTCTATCTCTTTTTATAGTTCTCAGTGAGTTTATCTACTCTTCTCCTAAGATCATTGAGCATTCTTACAATCAATGTTTCAGACCTTGCATCTGGTACATGGCTTTTCTCCTTTTTGTAGAGTTCTTTTTCTGGAGTTTGTTCTGTTCATTCATTAGGGAAATATTTCTTTGTCTCTCCTTTTGTCTGCCTCCCTTTTTTTGTTTCTATGTATTAGGTAGAGCTGCTGTGTTTCTCAATTATAGTACAGTGATCTAATATAGTAGGTTTCCTATAGGGACCAGTAACATAGTCTCCGTGGTAACCTGAGCCCAGTACTCCGGGTGCGTCCTTTGTATGGGCTGAGTGCACCCTCCTGCTGTTGTTAAGCCTTGGTTGCTATTTGCATGTAAATGAGAAGGATTGATCTTCAATCTGATAGGTTGTGAGAACTGGCTGCTCCTACAGTGGAGGTGCTGTTATGCAGGGGCTGACCCTTCAGAAAAGGATTCATTTTAGCAGGGTTCAGGTGGTTGCCAAGTCTTCTCATTGGGTGTGTCTTTTTGCAGGGTGCCCTGGTGTGGCCTGAAGCTGGCCAACAGGCAGATTTGTTCTGGGGCCCTTTGTGCAGGAATCTGTTTCAAGCTAAAATCAGCCACTGCTTGTGCCCTGCTTGGGACCAGTTGCTATGAGCTACAAAATCATCTGCAGATGGTTGTCACTCATTCTTGGGTCAGAGGTGCCTGGGATAGGCTAAGCATCGTTGAGAGGCCAGTTAACACAAGTGCTGGGCTTGGGGCTGCTTAACAAGAGGTACAGGGTATGCTGAGGGCAAATGTTACTTGTTTGGGTTTGAGAACCTTTGAGAGATTTTTGGAAAATCTAGAAGCAACTTGGGTGGGCCCAGAATTTGGGTGGGGTAGGGTCTCAGGGAATCACCAGAGCAGTGCAAACAGTGTTTGTCAGGTCAATGGAGATTCAGATATGGTGACCACTGTGTCTCCAGGCTGGGAGAGGGGAAGCCTCAACAAAGAAACAATGGCTTCTGCCAACACTTCTGTCTGTGGAAATCTTCCCTTCCAGTCTTCACCCTAAATCTGGATAATTCAGTTCCTCCCCAAATGTCCAGACATATTTCAAGGTGCTACCTCAGTGCTAGAGCTCAAAGTAAGTGATTCTGTCAGCAAGTGAGTCCATACTTGGACGCTTTAAGAGGAACACCTGGGACTCTAGCAACCCTCCATCTCACTCAGGCACAATCTTCATCGGTTTTCACAGCCAGAATTAGTGGGGACTTCTCTTCCTGGAACTGGAACCTTGAGCTGGGGAGCCCAGTGCGGGCTGGGACACCTCACTCTTCAGCGGAGACCTCCTCAGCCAAGATATCCCTCTTGAATTTGAACTGCCACACATGGTTGTTGGACCAGTCTGCCATTTCTGACTCTCCTACTAGTCTTGACGTGGCATCTTTTATATATCCTTAGTTGTAGGAGTTTTGTTCAACTAGACTTCAAGCGATTCTCAATGATGTTTGTTCTGTAGTTTAGTTGTAATTTTGATGTAATCGTGAGAGGAGGTAGGTACAACATTGACCTACTCTCCCATTTTGACTGGAAGTTGAAGATTAACTTTTATACTACAGATATACAAGAGAAGTTTTTTAATTGCTAATATGCTTTCTGGGATTTTATAGGGAAGAAAACTTTACGATAGTGTAGTATAAAATTCGTGAAAATAATATACCAAGTTTTTAACAGTGTACACTTCTAATAATAAGTTCATGTATCTTCTTTCAAATCATCGTATAAATACTTCATTCTTTAACAAATTGAATTTGGGTTGTTATTTTTCTATAGTATAATTAATGCTGCAAGGACTATCTCTTATATAAATCTGTTTCAACATTCCTGATTATGTACTTTGAATAAATTCTTTAATAGAGCATTTTTTGGTTGAAGTATAAGTACTTTTTTAAAAAGATCTTTAATCCATATTTCCAAACATTCTCAAGAAAGTTGAAGTTCACTTACATTCCTACCAACAGAGTCTGAAATGGCTATTTTTCTCAAGACAGGAAAAATTCCTTAAAGAAACTTGTGCAGTTCTAGTCTTAGTGTATGATTGGAATGAAAGTGAAATGGAAATTAATGACTGATTAGTTTATTCAGTATTGATAAAATTAATTCAAAGGTCTATGTTAAAAGCGCATATTACACTTTCCTGTTGACTTAATTAATATGAATTCTGTCTTTTTCCAAAAGGGATTTTAAAGTCATTTATAAAATAGACAATAATCAACAAGATAAGTTGAAAGTGTTACAAAAGAAGAAACATGAAAAATGTAGAGTGACAGTTATTTGACTCCTTAGCCTAGTCTTGGATTATAGTAGTCAGCAGATGTGTTGTGTAAAAGTCATCTGCAGATGTTGTCTTACACTATAAATATTTTTTAGGGGTAACTGTTATATTTTGTAAAATGGAAGTTTTATTTCCAGTGAATTTGTAAACTTGTTTATAAATATGACTTCTCTTTTTTAATGAGTAACTGAATTAATTATCTGTCCTAATATAGAAGTAATTACGACTGTAGAAACAAAGATAATTTTCCACATTACCTTTACTGAATAATTTCAAAACTCCTTTTCTACAATATTTACCAGAGTTACTACTGACTAAAAATAAGTAACAGTTTTCAATGCTACCTTTCAGATTATATATATGTATATAATCTTTGGAAGAGATTGAATTCAGAAATAAAAACATGATCTCCATATAGGAAAAAACTCTGAGAACTTAGAAATTTTATTAGGGTAATGATCCAACATATGTAGAACCAGATCATGGTATAAACTTTTTATTTTCTAACCAAATGAATTTTAAGATAAGTTTATTTAACTACAGATTTGCCTTACAACAAGAAAAGGAAAAAACAAAAAATACTGAGATGTTCTATAAAAGAATTAGGGAACAGTTAAGAACAAAAGAAGAGCAATATTGTAAAGAAGTTGAAATAAAACAACAACTTGAAATCTCTCTTAGAACACTAGACTTAGAATTGAAGACTGTAAGAAACAATTTCAATCAGGTAAATTCATCTTTGCTAAAAAATTTATATTTTATCAATATTTTTAATTTCTTTTGATTTAAGGTTTATTGTTTAAGTTTAAAACAAACCAAAATGTTGTCTCATTCAAAATGTGAATGATGACATTTGCAACAAAAATGATTAATTTGTTGTAATTCTTGGCATCCAATAGGGCTCTGTATATATTCTCTAAATAACAAAATGGAAGATAAATTTAGCTTAATCATTAACATACATGTTAATTTGGGCTTTTTTTAAATGCTGACATACAGATTAACTTGCCTTGAAACTGTGATGGAACTAGTCTAATCTTCCATAAAGAGGCTTTATTTCATAATACTATAGCTGCCTGTATTTTTGCTGTATGACAAATATAGCTGTCATTTAAATTCAAATTTGAGTTTTTCATGGAGGATAAAGATCCTTGTGCTTAAAATGGCTTCATTCTTTAAATATTTTTTAATGTTCTGATTTTGAGCTTTTGACTTTTTTCTAACTTTATGAAACTAAGAACCTAATGACATGTATCTCTAGGTTGTAAAAGTGCAAAATACCACTCAGAGGCAACTTTCTCGAGAACGGAACGCCAGAATATCACAAGATGCAATCCTGACCAATCACCTTTGCAAACTAAAGGAGATAGAAATAGCTCTTAAGAAAATTAATTCTAAGGTATTTTGTTTAGTCATTTTCAAATGCATGTGTGTATGTATTTGTGTGTTTATATATTTAAAACCCAACACTGTACATATGGGAAATATAGTGGATTTTAAATGCATACATATGTATGTATATATGTGCGTCTATATATGTGTGTGTATCATATATACACATACAACATATATGTGTACATATTTTTTTAAGGGGTGATATTTTTGGTCTATTGATTAAATAATATAGTCATAATTCAAATCCATTTATTTCTAGCAGTCAAGTGTTGACATTCCCAACAGCTTCATCTAAAGCAGAGGTTTTTACTATTTTCCATAGGAATCGATGAGCTTTCAGAATCTCAAAACTATTTGTACTAACAATAGATGTCCTAGATTTGGGCAGTGATTTTATTGCCTGGCTATATTGATAAGGAGGCAAGCTTTCACTTCTACTGATAATAAGGAAAAAAAGTATAGCCAGTTCAGAGACCATATTTTAGATATCATTCTCCTACTTTTGAGAAAATAACAATTTGCTCAATATTCCTATTTCAGTGTAAGAAGTAATATTCCTATTTCAGTCCAAGAAGCTTATGAAAACAATATGACATAATATATTCTTAGTGATAATATATTGATAACTTTTATTTGTAGTAAAAAATAAGTCAGTGTATTTTCCCCTATTTCACATTTATTACCACTTTAAATATTATAAAGAGGAAATTAAATTTATTGTAGCTGCAGATAATTTCATGATTTTCTAAGAGGAGCTCTATGAATTTTACCTTATTTACCATGAGCTTTTTTGAAATATACGCTTCTTCATATTTATATATTTACACTAGAGAAGTATCTGTGGTTTGGTGCAAGAGCACTAATTGTAGAGTCAAAAGACATGGGAAAAATCTTGAACTGTCTTATCTTTTTAACCTCTCCATTCCAGATTATGCTAACTGAGTTCTTTGATGTATATAGAAGTGCTTAGTGCAATGCCAAGATTTATCAGTTGTTAATAGATATGATTTTTATAACTGACTAAAAGTATTAGAAAAGTAGAATGTGTATGGAATAGTCCTAGGGGAAAAAAAATTAAGAAATAAGATCTGTCCAAATATATGCAGAGTTAATATGTTTACTGTAGGGTAGCTGTATATCGAGACTATAAACTCCATTTTTAAGTGTAGTCAGATTTATTAACCTTTTATTTTAGGCCTTCTAGGTTTTTTGTCTTTCCAATTATGAGACATAAAAATTCTCCTATGATTTCCTTTTTACATTCATAGATTCAGTGTCTTATGTTAAATTTTTAAACTTTGGGTATTTTATGCTTATATTAAGTTGGAGGACTTGAACCAACTTAATTTTTTTTCCCAATGGTATATCCACATACTAAAACCTTTTCATGATATATATACATACGTTCTTCTTTAATTTCAGGGAATACCATGATATATCATTTCATTGAGTGCTAGCTACAAGTCTTCTTTATTTTCCTTAGGTTTCTGATACTCATGAAAAAGAAAAAGATATGTCACATAAAAAGCACATGTTGCTGGATGAAATTGCCATGCTAAGACTGGAAATAGACACAGTAAAAAATCAGAAGCAGGAGGTGGAAAAAAAGTGTTTGGGGGACATTGCAATTGTACAAAAAAAGAACGACCATCTTCAAAAGACCATAAAACTGTATAAGGAAACACTAACAAAAAAAATATTTCAATGTAATAGTCTGCTTAATGTTCAGAAAGCTGAGAATACTACACTAAACTCTCAACTTGAGGATGAGAAACAAAACAAAGAAAGACTGGAAACGGAAGTTGAATCCTACCGTTCTAAACTGGCTAGTGCTATACATGATTATGAGCAAAGTCAGATGTCAAAAAGTGACCTAGAACTTACTTTCCAGAGAGGAAGACATGAATGGTTTCATTTTCGGGACAAAATGAATTTTGATATGTCTCACCTGAAAGATAAAAATGAGATTCTTACTCAACAACTTTCTAAAGCTGAAAGTAAATTGAATATGCTAGAAACTGAGCTCCATCACACAAGAGATGCTCTCAGAGAAAGGACTGTAGTTTTAGAACATGTACAAACAGACTTAAGCCAAATACAGTGTCAGAAGAAGGAAATTGAACAAGATAAAGTGAATAAATGCACTGGAAAGCAGGAATCCTTAGAAGAGAAATTATATCAGCTACACAGCAAAAATGCAATACTTCGACAGCAACTGGATGATGTTCACAGCAAAGCCGACAATAAAGAAAAGATAATAATTAATTTCCAAGAACAGTTTCAGGATACGATAAAAAGACTTCAGGCCAAAAGTGAAAAACAAAGTCATATGCTAGAAGAAAAAAATCAGGAGTTAATCAATGAATTGCGTCATTTGAAAGAAAGAATGTATCAGCGTGAAAATGATGAAGAAAGAGAGGTAATTATCCAGAAAGATAAATATTTTTCAAAATTTCTGAAAGAAAATTCCAGGTAATATTTGATTATGTCTAAATGGTGAATCTAGTTGAATTTTCACCATATACAGACTGTAAATGTATTTCTAAGCAGGACAGGATTCCCCTGTCATTCATACTCTCCTCTATGAGAGATGCTACCAATAATTTAAGGTCAGAAGAGTGCATTGTGAATCCTAAAGTTGGAACATTGAGATAGATGCACCTACCAACTAGTTCTTTTCAGTCACAGTAACTAGGTCCATGCAATTTCATTTTACAGATATACCTATAAGAGGAAATGAAAGATTGTGTTGATGGCCCTACTTGTTGCTGAAGAAACTTTGAAAATTATTGTTTTTCTAAACTTCGTATAAATTAGTCACATTGTGTTAGCATACTTTTCATACAGTATGGACAATATGTTGCTAAGGAGTCTTTCTTGACTGCGAGTGCCAGGAGTTGTCACCTTACAGTTTCATAAAGAAATCTACTAAGATATCAAAAATTTTAAATTAGTAAGAATGCCCAAAACTGCTTAAGCTTATATAAAAAACAATGAGGGATTTTCTGTAGAGCGCTATAGAAATGAGTTATGATTATGACACAGATTTATTAACCACTATAAAGTCTACCCTGTGGATCAAAAAATTTTAATTAGAGACAGATTTTATCCAGTTCAATCAATAGCCCTAAAAGGTCTAGATGTTCTCATCTGTGGCTCTGCAGGCCAGATCCGACCTGGGTTAAGATATTTGACCCATGCAATGTTGAGGTGAGGAATCTGGATTAGGAAGAGGAGAGATCTCTAGCTGACTCAAGCCTTCAAACAATGTAGTTCAATATGCATCTGAAAGGAACTTGAGAAGAAGACTTCAATAGGTCAGGTCAGGTCTCTATGTAATAATAGAAAATAATTCAATAAAAAGTAATGATAGTAATTGATAATCTGACTCTTGTGAAAAGCTTTTGCATTCTAAGAGAAAAACAGGGCAAAGTATGCTGGTCAACTTCCTGAGGGGGAAGGTGGCCCCATGATCAGAAAATAACAGTACACTCAAAGCAATACCAATAAAATTCAAAATAAAATGTATAAGATTAGCTAATCCACACCAAGTGATGATTTAAGAGTGTATGGTTGAGAATATTGTTTGTGAGGAATTACAAGGAAGAAAGAAAGTACAGAAGACTTCAATGACAGGGTCATGTTATTTAGGGAATCTGATTTGAAGCATTGAGATGTAAAGAACTCTGAGAGAATGTGAAGGAGAAATAGAGAGGGTCCAAGACTGAACATCAAGGTGGCTGTTGTTTAGAAATGACTTGTAATTAGAGGCTGAGGGTGTGGTCATTGCTGTCAATTGCTGCTGAGAAGTTAAACAACATAAGGATGAAGAAGAAGTGACCTCAAAGAATTTGTAGTGCAATTATAGGATTGAAAATCAGACTCATGTAAAAGAGAGTAAGTGATGTAAATATGAATATGTAGATGAGACCATTTAAGAATGTTAGAGTCCAATGGAAGGGGAGAAACAGGATGATAGAAAAGCTACAAGAATCAAGAAAAAGTTATGTATTTATATAATATAGTGAAGACAAACTTTATTTAAAGAGAAAACTATTAAATAAAAAAGGAAATTGAAACAAATGAATACTTACAGAGAATGGCAGTTTTTATCTCATCTGAAAGTCATATTATCATCATAATGGGATAGGAACAGATTTGCATTATTAAACCGACTACTTACAGTTTTTCAACTATTAAAGTTCAAATCATATGTCTCCTTGTCAATCTTTCTCATCTCCTAAGTAGAGCAACCATTTAAAATATGATACCTACCTTGTTGTAATTGAAGGGAACCCAAGAAAAAAATTTATGTTTTTGTCCTAGTTATCTGCTTCTCATTAGCATTGTTTATCATTATTAAATTGATCTTAACATCTATTAGATTCTTCTTTAAAGGGGACTACAGGCATACAGAGAGATTGCAGATGTGGTTCCAGACCCAAGCAATAAAGTGCAATCACAAGAACTTTTTGTTGCCCAGTGCATATAAAAGTTATGTTTACACTATAAAGTAGTCTACTGAGTGTGCAATAGCATCATGTCTTAAAAAACAATGTACATACTTTAATTAAAAAACACATTACTGCTCAAAAATGCCAACCATCACTCTAACCTGTTGGAAAAATGGCTCCGATAGACTTGCCAGATGCAGGGTTGCCACACACATTCAATAGGTAGAGAAATGCAATATCTGTGATGCACAATAAGGAAAGTGCAATAAAACAATGTATGTCAATAATTTCTGCTGTATGAGTTATGTTTCTTAGTAGCTCTTTTTTAATCCTGAAAAAGTTTACCTGTTTTTTTCCTAACTGCCCAAAGGTTAGTGCCTTAAATAAACAACATTTACTTTGTTCACAAATTGACACTTAGGTATAACTGCAGCCAGTCTCTGTGCCCCTCAGCTTCAACTGGGGCAGCTGGCTGTGCCTGAAATCATTTGAAGGTTTGTTCACCAATATGTCTGGTGGTTGATGCTGACCATTGGTTGGAACTTTGGGGAAGACAGTTGGAACGCCTACTCTCGAACACCTGGGCTCTCATTGTGGCCCGAAGTTCCTCACTACATGGGGGCTGGGTGCCAAGGTTAAGCAGCCTGAGATACAGGGCCAGGCAGAAGCTATGTTGCTTTTTCTAAACTGGCTTAGGAATTCACACAGCATCATTTTCACCACATTCTGTTCTTTAGGAGCAAGTCACTAAAGTTGACTCATATTCTACCTATGTATGGAATGAATATTTCAAAAATGTATGGACATATTTAACAACCAGCTTAATCTAACCACTGGCCATCATTGTTTCTATGCCTCTCATGTGAAAAAATACACCAATCCCTACCTAATTCCCCTACAAGTCTCAATTATTATGATGTCAGGCTCAGGCCCAAGTCCAAGATTTTACCATCTTAATCGGGTACAAACAGAGATGAAATGCCTGGAGTGTGGCCGCTGAAGTAAAGCTCCTTGAGGACAATTCATTTCAATATGAAGACTTGAGAACCAAAGAAACAAGTTATCTGCCACCCCCCACACGATATTCTGCTAAATGGCTAAAGACTCACATTCAGAAATGGAAAATGGAAGGCATAATTGTCCATAGCAATTCTGAAATAAAGTCTGAGGTGCGCCTATAGTACTTTGATGAGGACTTAGTCTTAGCCTCAGGTTAACCTCTAGGCTAGAATACTCTAAAGGTTGGTCATGCACATGTTTGGCACCTAAAGCTGGCTCTTGTCTGGGACGTTAGCTGAGGCCATCTCAGTTGAAACATCTATAAGAGGAATGACTGTGTACCCTGGGTTTCTTCATTCTTCACAACATGGTATCTGGGTTCTCAGGGTGAGCTTCTCTAGAAATAGAAAGTGAGATGGAAGTTGTATCACATTTTCTAACCCAGATATAGAAGTCACACAGCAGATCTGCCATATTCTATTCACTAGAAACCAGTTACTTATTAAGGCTATCATGCATTTAATAGAAGGAAATTTTATAAGTTATCAAAGGATTTGCAGACTTGTTTTAAAAATACCACATCCACTCACATTTTTTTACAAAATAAGCATTGTTTCTAAAGGCAAGTAGTTCTTTTCAACTCAGTATCACTGAATTTATAGCAGGATTGTTGTTGTTGTCATCACTTTTCTTTAGTATGTTCACTTATTTTGTGGAATGTAATAAAGGATTACAAGATAACGCTATTGAATTCAGGCATATTTTTGTGTTCAGCAATATGTGGGAGTCATCCCACTAAATTTTTACTCTGGGAAATATGATTCTTTCATAATACTGGAAATCATTTCTGCATGGAATCAAATTTCAAATTAGCACAAAACATTTGTAGTTCAGTAAATGGCTTGTAGCAGAGAATCTGTATTTATAAGATTCATTAGAGTCTTATTTTAAAAATCTTAGCGTGAGAGGCTTTTATTGACTGAGGCCTAAATTACTCCATATGATAACTCTAAACTTCTTTTAAAATTATGGACAGTTGGATGGAGGAAGAGATAAGAGACTTTCTACTAAAATGTGATTCAAAGTCATTTTATGGAGGAAAGATGTGATAAGCTCAGACAAGAAATTATGGAAAATTAAGTATGGATGTTTTATGACAAAGACAGTGACAGGAAAGGATGTGTTTTTGTGACCTGGTGGTCTTAACGTTGTTTCTGATTCTGCGTAATTCAAGGTTCCACATTCTAAGACTCCAGCACAGTACAAATCACATTTTATTGCAACTGAATTTATTTCATAACTTAATACTTGTTTTGAGTTATCTCATAACCAAATTCTATTATCTTATTCATGCAGACTGGTGATCTTCCAGCAAAACTGGAAACTGCATCTTCAAAATGTTTACGTCTAGATGAAGAAAATCAGTTTCTCCAACAGCGGTTATTATCCATGAAAGAAATACAAAAGAAATGTGAAAAACTAGAAAATGAAAACAAGAAGTTGAAACAAGAATTAGTAAACCTCAAGAGTCACATAAAAAAGAATATGGTAAAATACAGTGAAGTTGAACAGTATAAACAGGAGATTGAAGAAAGAGCAAGACAAGAAATACTCGAAAAATTAGAAGAAGTCAATCTCTTTTTACAGGTTAATTTTTGCCCTTTAATGTGTTTTAATTCATTTCACTGCACATTACATTTTGGGTACACACACTGTATGCGTTTCCTGTACTTCCCTTAATAGCAATTTGTTTTGCAGATTTTTGGAAGAACGATGGCATTTGTTTCGCCCTTTAAATATTTCATTTTCTTCATTTCACCAAAAACAATTGATCTCTGAGAATGTTTCTTCCCGAAGAATCATTTTATTTTTCAGACCTGTTGATATAAAACAAGAGTATTAGAAATAAAAGAACATTTGTGATTTAAAAATTGTACCATTCTCTTTGTTTATTAAATATTATTGTTCAATTTTTAACATTTAAAATTGATGCTATGCTGTTCTTTGAATTATCAGGGAGTTGGATACTAAAAGGAGAATATTTGACTTTATTTTCATAATTCAGATTTAATTCAGTTGACATTGTTGATACATATTTTAAACTTAGGCTCTTTACCATTTCTAGTTTCTCTGAATCAACTCAAAACCAAAGGAAATGAATATACTATAATTATTCAGGTTATAATTATTACAAAAATATGTCCTTTTTATTTGCTTTAGGCACAAGCAGCATCTCAAGAAAACTCAGAGTGGTTAAGAGAGAATAATTCTACAATAAGAAGTCAAATGGAACTCAGAATTAAAGATCTGGAATCTGAACTCTCCAAAGTAAAAACTTCTCAAGAAGATTCTAATAAAATGCAATTGGAAACATATAAGCAACTCTACCTAGAGGAACTGAAAGTTAGAATGTCATTGGAAAGTGAACTAAATGTGTAAGTAAAAGCATGGAATCAGAGAAAATAAATTTAGCTCATAATTTGCCTCTAAAGCATAATTTTTAACGAACCAGGTTCACGAGATTAGTATAAAGTGAAAGCTAACTAAATATAATAATCTTGGAAAATTATGTCAGAAAACAAACTTGCCTTTAAATGTTAGTCCAGGACAGTTTGCATTTCTGCTCCATTTTTGTTTTGACATGACTATTTCCTCCCCTTTTTATATTTTCATATAGTAAACATGATCTAGTCTTTAAGCTAAGTGTTTTTGAAGTTTTATAATTTAGATGGCAATATTATTATAAAATTTTCTGTCTGAATTCTGCTAAGGAGCAATTTTAACGAGTTTAATTATTTTTTTGAAGACAACAGCTTAAACCCAAAAGGTTAGGTGCTCTGAACATTCTGGCTCTTGGTAAATGTACAAAGATTGTGATCTTTGTTATAATCACTAGAGGGTGTCTTGAGAAAACTGATCCTTTCTAGTTTTTCTGGCATACCTAATGGCATACACATGAAATAGGGAAAAATGAGCACAGGGGTAAAGTGCCCTATAATTGACAAAATGGCTAAAAATAATAAGGTGGCCTCTCTGAGGATGGGGGTGTGGGTTGTAGAGGACAGAAAGGGCAGATCCCACTGCCAATTCTTTGGTAAAGATGTGATAAGCTAATTGCCTCTGGAGTTGTTTTGGTTCATTTTGATCATCAACTAGGCTATCTGGTCTCCCCTAGAGGCTGTTGCTCTAAATTATGTCCAGTCCAAATGGTTAATTTCTCCAAGATAATGAGTATATGGTACAAGAATGGGGAAAACACATGTTTGGAAATGCCTTAGAGGGATTTTTTAAAAATCTCTAAACTGGTTTATTACATATGCCTAATGGTACGCTCAAGAAGCTCGTAAGTACAGCCATTCCTGAAGGCACCAAGTATCACGTGAGAAGCTGTCTGCATCACTGATCGCCATTCCTCTCCCCTCCCTACTTTGAATTGATTATTAGTTAGTAATCCCCCTAGAAACCTATGTACTTGTTCAGAACAATTGTAAACCTATACAGGTATATAGGGGTCTGCTCTGACATATTTTCAGTATTAAAATTCTGTTAGGTAAGAAATTTCACTTACTATTATGGCAACTTAAAAAAAAATGCAGGTCATTAGGGAAGAATGAAATACTAAGCCTGTGTTTTTTACAATCTTCACAGGAAAAATGAAAAGCTAGCAGAGATCAGTTCCGAACTTCTAGAGAAACAGCAGAGCAGAACTTTACTCTGCACTGATATTACAAGGCCAGTCCTGGAGCCACCAGGTGTTGGAAGTCTTAATCATAGTCTCATAAGCCATAGAAATCTTGCTCCAAGAGTAAACTTGGTGACTTCTGCCTCAACCCCATGGACTTCAAATAATAGCATGGACGCTTACTTTACCAAGGTTGGTTATATTACCTTCTTTCCCTTGGGTTTCAGATTTCTGATTATGTTTTGTTGATAATTTGGTGAAATGCTGAGTTGTTTCCTTGATGAATGCACACTAAGTAAAAGTCATAATTATGTGTGCTAATAAAGAAAGGAGACAGAAACTTTGTAATATTTCTGAAGTCCCTGAATCTCTCATGTTCAAGAGGTACCTATCATTAACTATTCAGTAAACATAACTAATCAGACACACTTTCAGTTTCATGAAAAGCTGTCTTTATATTCAGTTTTAGAAATTACAATAGAGTAAAATGGAATACTTGGTGATGCTTTGGGTTACTTTCTAAGTGATTTTAATTTGGTGATGGTTCAAAACAATTTTAAAATTCTGGTGCACCCCAGGTACTTCACCCTTAAGCATTAATGAATAATTGACTTGCACACCCTTAACCATATATGGTCTTTCTTTTGTTTTCCAAAGGTTGGTGGTTTAGGCCAGTTTTTGTTTTCTCTCACCTGTGCTACCTGAGCCTCCTGGGTCCAGGTGTGGGGGCTTCGTGGTGGGCTTGGGAGCCCTGGTCTGAGTAACCAGGGTGGTGGGTATCGCTGCTGTATCCAGGTCCCCAGGGTCTCTGGGCACCACCACTGGGGGTGGTGATGGAAGATGGGGCTGTGACAGAAGATGGTTAATAAGCCCCTATGAGCTGCTACATGGTTCTCTATGGCCACTGGGAGAACTGTGCTCTGGCCTGGAGCCTGAGGACTTGTCTCTGCTACTGCTACTAGTCTCTCTAGTGATGCAAACACTGCTGTAACTGGGGAGGGATCTGGGTTCCTGGGGAGGCAGGGGATGCTGTGGCCACCCCTTTGACCCTCTGGTGGGCTGTGTTGTGGGAGAAGCACCCCAACTCCTCTGCCAATATTGCCTTTCTTAAGGCTGCAAGCTCAGACTTGTCTGCCTGGAACTGCAGTTATGGGCCTGTCCCTGTCCTTCCCCCATCCTGCCTCCCTACACATTCCAATATACCCACCTTCCCACCTCCTGATGTGTGGATTTTTTAGGCATCCTAGTGTGCTGAGCAGAGGAGCCTTTGTTGGATTATAGATGTCTGACTAGTTGCAGATTTAAGGGAAGTACAAGTGGTTGTCTCAATTGGCATGGTGCTGATATCACTTTCTAAAATATCCATTTCAATCAGTGCCATTGGTTTATGATTTGGATGCTGTTTTGAGGGTCTTCTCAATTCAAAGAAAAGTAGCATAGGACTGTGCTAAATGAGACTTCAGCCCTGTTTTTGGATTGGGCTGCATCATAATAAATCACAGGAGAGTAAAGCTAAGGAGAGTACAGCCTTTGGCCAAATAGGGACTACGTGCTTTGAAGTGGTGAAACTGGACTACTGGGTACCAAAGAAAACAAATGTCAGATACCACTCTAAATTGTTAGGCATGATGCACACTTAAAAGGTTCTCATTAGTTCTCACCAGAAAAATTAGATATAGCATTATTTTATTAGGTGAAGATGAAAGAGTATGTAAATATAAAAGCAATTTAAGAGAAGATTTTTTGCGGAAATATTTCCTTATTAATTTTTTGTTCAAAATTATGTGTTTATTATTTTTTTAAATATTTCTGGATCAATTAAGACATAGTTTATTTTAAACTTGATGTTGTAGTTCCAAGAGATACAGAGTTCCCTTGTGGGGCATTGGTTGCCTGATCATGCCAGGTTTAGTCAGAGATTAAAAAGCAGCACTCTGTCAATATCCAGACATAGGTCTCCAACATCACTACAGAATACGTGGAAGGACTTTTTATATAGCTGGTCTTTACAGAATTCTTAGATGTGCAGAAAGAAGGTGTCTTCTAGAGATGCCTGTATTTTAATGAATGCTACAAGGAAAACATCATACTTTGAGAGAGGGAGTAACATCCCATCTAAATATGATAGAAAGGGGTGAGATTCTTTAATAGAGCACTATAAAACAACCTCCTTCTGAAGATTTTTAGCTAAGATTCTCGAGAGTCAAATATTAAAAATATTAAAAATAGCATTAATATTAAATGTGTTTATCAGTCACCTTTATTTGCAAGGTTTTAACATTTTGGACTGTTTTTACTATGAAGTTTTAACTTATTCAGCATTGTATTTCTAAATTTAATGACAGTAATGATAATAAAGTATTGCTCTAAGTCTGTGATTTCAGTTGTACTGGTAGTCAAAGCAAGTTTTCTCTGCGTTCATAACTCTTAAGTGTATGGCCTCTGTCACCAGTGCATGAAGTTCAGTCTTGCCCATGCAAAGCCATTGTAGTGGCACAGGTCACTACTTACCTGTTTTGCTAACTTTAACCTTCATTTTTCACATTCTAGTTAAATCCAGGGATGTTATTCCTATATTTCAGAAGTAATTTTATACTTTAATTCTATTGTGTAATTTAATTGTACTGTTATAAAAAAAAAAAAATTAGCCTGAACAGATATATCACTAGTTATTTTATCACTAGTGATATATGACTAGTTATTTAGATTTTTCTTACATATAGAATGTTTTTCTAAGAACTGAAAATTTACTCCAGACAACTTTACAACAGATAAAATTTCTCTGGTTTCAAAAGTTTTTATGTTCAAGACTTTTTAGTATTTATGTGCCTAACGCCATGTATGGCCAAAATATTTACTCAATAAATAGGTTTTAAATAGGAAAATTCAATTTTACGCTGATTGATTCTGGACTTTTCATCTATTACTGACACTTTGAGAAATTTTCTAGTGAGATTTTCTTTTATGTCTCAAATGTTATATAAATACATCAAAACTAAAACAGTTAATAATTAAGACATCAGAAGCATGGCGGTGTGAGGGGTTCCCTTGATCTCTCCCCTTGAGGTGATAACAAGGTGAATAGCTATAATCCAAGGGAAGATTTCCAGCCTAACACATGAACACTTCTGAGAGATCAGAGCATCCGAAGTGGGTGAATTGGGCCATCAATTCCACAGGTCAATACTTCATTTTACCACTTCAGCAAATGCTCCACAGTTATTTCATCTTTGGAAAGATACAAATAATTGATCAACTTCTTCCTATTCTTCATTCATTCATTATCTCTGGACTCAATTTTTCAGCTCCTTGATCAACCAACTTTTCCTCGGTTCTTGGCTCTGCTGCAAAATACATGTTTTTAATATACACAAACTGACAAGTGCATTTCCTTCATATATTAACCTATTTATAAATGGATAATCAATTGCAATGATTTATATGGGTAAAGTTGCTTGATTTTATGTCATTATATTTATTTTTATAACATTTACCATAAGAATGAATCAAATTTTAACTGAAAAGTATCAATAGTTACTGGAAATATATTAACTTAGGAAATGTGTATATGTGTAGTGGTATGTATGTGTTTACTGAATTGGTTTCAAAAGAAGAATTGAACATTATTTTTCAACCTGTAGTGTAAATCTAATAGAAAGGTAGCCATTCAGTAAATTCTCATTGAATGAATGAACATATATTTGTATTTTATTGTGCTTTGCTATTGTTAGTGTCTCACTCTGTTTCTTTTTCTAAAATGTTCCTTTCAACTTTTCCCTCTTTAAAGTAGGAGTTGCTTTGAACAAGGTACGTGAATTATAAAGTCAAGGAAGAAGAAAATATTTCTATACGTGTTGTGTAGTTATCTTTTTTGTTGGAGCCTTTGTGATGTAGATGGCAAATGACACTCCTCTTCCCCTTCTGAGCCAGAACGTAGGAGTCAGGAAGGTGGAGATCACTTTACTTGCTTTGTTACCCACACATACTAAGAATGTGGAGGGTGTGGCTTAGATGTGTGGCCACAATGGGCTTCCAAACTGACTCCCGAATCAAGAATTTCCCCACACAGTTGTCAGCAGAAGAAATAATGCTTGACACCTGTCTCAGGGGTAGTCTGCTTACTGCAGAGATGAGGGCAGATTCAACTACACATTACTGTGGGAAAACAAATCCTTTCAAAAAAGAGATCTAAAAGTAAGCAAGCATTTCTTAAAGGTTCCATCTCTCAGATTCACCCATTTGGAAAATTTTCCCTCCTCTCATGAGGAAGGTATAGAGTGTATAAGTCCTCATGTGGAAAATTGAGGCCTGAGAAATGAGGTACTTCTGTGATTTCTGACTGAGCTGGAACTGTAGTTGAAATTAAGCTCATGTCTTTTGTATATACCAATTAATGAAGAGAGGTTGGACAGAAGTATGCTAGATAGTAAAGAAAAGTCTGTTTTGTGTTTTCGATTTTGCTATAGATACTCCGCAACATGGATAATTATTTGTTAATTAATTTTCGTAAAGCAAGGTCTCTTAGGAGGGAAATAAGTGTTCTTTAAAGAGTCAAATTCCTCGATTTAAGCCTGCTTTGTTTACCAAAAGATATTTCCCTTCAATTTCTCACTCCTGTGGTTTAAAAAATGTGTGCTCTATAAATTGAGTGTATATGCTGCTCATACTAGGAGTTACAGTATTAATTTCTGGTCCATTATTTTTATTCATGACTTTAAAACTTATAATTTAGTTAGAAAGCTATTAATTGTGTCTTATGGCTAAACATTTTGAGCTACATGACCAAGTATTACATATTCATTTTCTCTGAGTTACAGTTAAAAATCTATGTAATTTTCCTGATTACAGGGAAGTAGATAGCATAGAACTCTAGGTTTATTAAGAAGACCTAAAGCCCATTCCTGGACTGCTGCTAATAGGTTTTTTGACCATAGGCAATCTATAATTTCTCTGAGCCTTGTTGCCTTTCATGTAAAATTAGAGACTTTGACTAAATCATGGACTATCATTCTTATATAAAAATTATTTTCAAATACTTGAACTGTTCTTTGTTTTAAAATTTTTGCATGAAATTTTATTATATAAAATAAAGACAAATGGAGCTGCCTAGCTAAAGAAGGGAGAGACTCTGGTTCTGTGTAATCTTGCACGTATCCCCAGTGGAACCTTAGATTTCTATGGGACATAGTGGAGAACAACCAGCTATAAGAAAATCCTCTCAGTAAAACTTCTTGAAGTAAAATTGCTGACAAATTGTTTTCCTTTATATGATTTTCTCACCTTTCTATATTTTTGATAAATGGAGAAGTATAAATCAAATTGCGGATGTGTTCTCTGCATTAATGTTGGACTTCCAGCTCCTTCCACCATCTGAACACAAATCCTTACCTAGAAGTAAACATAAAGGTCACAATAGTAAATATGTAGGAAGAGCGCTTTTGGGGGAAAAGGTAATAAAGTTACATCAGTGGTTTCTTAATGTAATTCATGAAAAATGTGATTTACATTTTATATATTGTTTTTGAATGGTAACACAAAATTGTTTCAATAAAGGCCTCTCCCTTTGTCTGGTATTGAGTTCCTGATTTTATAAGGCCTTTCTAGTAATGATGTCACATTATTCATTTTATAAGCCCTGCCCTTCATGCCATTGTCAAAAATGGTGTTATGGAAAACAGTCTGAAAATAATGGGAAACACGTTAGCCAATAAATTTGTCTTCACATCTAAACTTTGGAGAGGCATGGTCATTGTCGCTACAGTATTTATTATCTTCAGTATACTAGTTTAAACTCTGTTTTGGGCATTTAGTGAGAAGATACCTTTTATAAGAAAGGTCTGAAGGAAAATACTCTAGATGGGGACACTTGTAACATAGTTTGAAATATTCTGACACATCTCATGATTAAGTAAATGATGGCTACAATTAATTGAATGTTTCAAAAATTGGCCCTAATTTGTAGAGAGGAAACATAGTTGCAATTAAATGATCATATATTGTTGTTTGTTGTTTCTAACTCTACAAAGTCATCAATCAGAAAGTAAGTTTGAAAACTGGCTTTAACCGTTATGTCTCCCTTATTCAAGCAGATTTTCTGAAATCTTAGGTTCCATATAAATAAATGTTTCAGGTATAGTATACACAGCAAAGTAGTTTTACATATTTTTTTGTGAGTAGAATTTTCATGTAACATAACATTACCACTTTCATCATTTTACTTTCAAAATTTAATAGCACAGAACACACTTTATGATTTTAATTTTCTAAAAGTGTAAGGATAGAAAGATTATATTATGGAAAACTGCATTAAAATGAAAAAAAACTAATTAAACATATAAAGGGCAGCATTTCTAAGAACTGCAAAACAATGCATTCTGTGTAAAGTAAGACTTCACCTATTTAAACTTCTTTGTTCCAATCAGAGATCGAATGAAACATTGCCCTTCTAAACTTATGTTTACTCAATAGACCATATCGATTGTACTTTCATCAGATGAATTTAAATAGCATTATGTACATATGTTCTCTATTATCTAAAATTTAAGAAGTAGAAATTTATTTTATTTACATGATAATTCTATGTATGTAATCCCCAAGTTAGGTGTAGTCTCTCAAAGTATTATTTAAAGAGCGTATTACATAAATTATATATTATTCCTACAATAATATCTGTTTAAGTTAAATACTTAATTATATTTGCTTTATTTCAGATGCAGCAGGAGATGGATAAAATGATAACTAAAGAATTCAAAGAAGGTATGTTGCCAAAATTTATTAATTCAGTTTCGATATCATTGAGTTCTAATATGAACTATAAATAGTAAATGGCATCCCATATATGTTTGGATAATATACTACATTAGGTATTTTCTTCCACACAGCAAATGGATAATATACTACATTAGGTATTTTCTTCCACACGGCAAATGGAAAATGTGACAGCATAAACATTCATAATGAAAAATACACTCATTCCTCATTTATTTATCATATTCCATAGCTTGTTAAAAATCTCAAAGTCCGTGTATCTCTTTTTATTTCTGGCTCCCCTTTTCCTTTCCTCTACCATCTCTATGGAACTGTCAACCTGCATACTGAAACTACTGTCAGAAACTGGGCTTCATCAACTTCTCATGTTTCTCCTAGTGATAGATAAGGCCCAATAACCAGACTCATCTAGTCATACTTAGCCAAGCCATTACAGTTTCTATAGCTGTCACCTGCTGGGTGACATTTCCATCTCCAGTCATTGACTTTATCCTTGGTTTACATTTTTCCCTGAAGAGAGAAACTCCAAATTCCTTTACATGAAATAAAAACACTAAGATCAATTTAGTTCTTCCCTAATAATTCAGCCTTATCTCTTGCTCCTTACCTTATTCTGCTCCTTTGCTCTAGCATCTAGCCAAACTGGACTACTTCTAATTCCACAAATGTTTTCCCTCATCACTCATCTTTGCATCTACCTCTTCCCTCTATTTTACATACTATTGCTTGTCCTTCAGGTATCAACTTATATATTACCTCCACCAAAAAGCTGGCACAATACTGGAATGTTTTTTCTGTTTGTTCCAATAGTGTCTTGTTTATATTTGTCATGGCATATATATCTCTGAATGAAAATTGTCTGGTCATCTGTTTTTTCAGTTGATAGTATATGATTGTTTAGGGATGAACCATGTCATCATCATCTTGTAACTCCAGTGTTTGTCGTACTACCTTAGCACATGGTTGTTGAAAAAATGAATGACGATGAAGAAACCAGAAGCTCTGACACTTAGCCACAGAGCAATTAATTCAGTGTGCAACCAGGAGCAAATTATATTTAATAGTAACCTCATACTGTGTATTTTTTCATTGTTCTTAACACTTATTTTTAGTCATATGTTAGATAATGAATATAATTCTTTCTTTTTCTTTCCAGCAACTGCTGAATTTGAATATGAGTCCCATAAACCTTCTCCTCTACATTCTACTGATGATCTACTTTTGAAAGCCTCACAAGAACATACACAGATTTTGAAGAAAAATTATATGATCTAAAACATAAATAATAAAAATGTATTTACTGATCTATTTATATAACACTTTGTTTCCCATTAACCATATGACACATCTTTATTAAAGGAAAATATTTGTGTATCATATGTGGATGGTGTAAATTTATACAGTATTTTAAACTGTTTCTTGGCATCTAACTAGCTTTTCAGCAGATTTTGTGAATGAAAACAAACACTATTGAGTTTTAAATACTCAAACTGCCCAAACACCTGCTATTTAAACAAGACCCATACAACCAAGTTTTCATTGATGTTAGTGGTGTTCATTGAGAGCTCTTTTTGTATTTTTCAATATTTTAATTTTTTATTAAATTTATTGACATGACATTGGTTAATAAAAGTATATAGGTTTCAAAAACACTGTTCAATAATACATCATACATATATCGCATTGTGTGGTCATCACTCAAAATAAAGTTTTCTTCCATCCCCATATATTTGACCCATGTTACCCTTATCTACCTCTCCCCACTCTCTTTTCCTTCTGATAACTACTAAACTGTCATCTGTGTCCATGAGTCCCTACTTGTTTCTCTTGTTTGTTTAATGCTTTCAGTTTTATATCACACTTATGAGTGACATCCTGTGGTTCTCAGTGTTTTCTGTCTGACTTATCTTGCTTAGCATGATCATCCCAAGATCCAACCATGTTATTTCAAATGGCACTATTTCATCTTTTCTGATGGCTGAGTGTTATTCCATTCTATATATGCCCCACATCTTCCTTATCCACTCATCTATTGGAGAACACTTCAGTTGTTTCCATGTTTTGGCCACTGTGAATAATGCTGCTAGGAAGATTGGGGTGCATATATTTTTATGAATATTTTCAAAATTTTGGGATAAATACCCAGAATAGAGATTGCTAGGTCATATGGTAGTTCTATTCTTAGATTTCTGTGGAACCTCCATGCTTTTTCCAATAGTGGCTGTACCAATTTACATTCCCAGGAGCAGTACATGAGGGTTCCAATTTCCCCATAACTTCTCCAAAATTGTTATTGTTCATCCTGTTGATGATCGCCACTCTAATAGGTGTGAGGTGATAGCTCATTATGGTTTTGATTTGCATTTCCCTAATAGCTAGTGAGGCTGAGCATCTTTTCATATGTCTGTGGCCATTTGTATGACTTCTTGGAAGAAATGTTTCTTCAGGTCCTCTATCTATTTTTTTTTTTTTTTTGGATTGCTTGCTTTTATTGTTGTTGTTGACTTGTATGAGTTCTTTGTCTATTTTGGCCATTAGGCCCTTATCAGAGATATTGATTGCAAATATATTCTCCCATTTAGTTGGTTTCCTCTTAGTCTTGTTGATTTTTTTTTTCTGTGCAAATGCTTTTTTAGATTGATATAGTCCCATTCAGTTATTTTGGCTTTACTTCCCTTACCTTTTAAATCAAATTCATAAAATCTTCTCTAAATCCAAGGTCCATGAGGTTAGTGCCTATGTTTTCTTCTATGTGATTTATTGTTTCAGGTATTATATTCAGGACTTTGATCCATTTTGAGTTCATTTTGGTGTATGGTGACAGAGAGTCTAGTTTCATTCTTTTGCTTGTGACCTCCCAATTTTCTAGCATCATTTATTGAAGAGGCTTTCCTTTCTCCATTGTATGTTTGTGGCTCCTTTGTCAAAAATTACTTGTGAGCATTCTGGGAAACATGGCATAGTGAGAGATGTCCTCAGATCTCTCCCCTTGAAACAACAATAAGCTGAACATCTAAAACTGAAAAAAAAAAAAAAAGCATCCAAACTGCACACCAGCACATCTGAGCATGGGATCTGCATATAAGGGCTACCACAGGTCGAACCCTGGGTGTCAGGCGGTGGACTGGGAGAAATAAAGAAGCTGCTCCGCTCAGCTGCCAGAGCTACCTGTAGGAGAAAGGAGAGAGGTGAAGGTGTGGCAATTTCCCAGAACAGCCCTGCACGGGAAAGCTGTGAGCTCCCCATGGCTGGTGGGCATCAGGGCACACTAATCAGGACAAAAAGCAGAAAAGGGGGACAGGACCACAGAGAAACAACAGTTGATTTTTACCAGCCCTGGTTGCAAAACCGAGGCTGGGCCACAGTCATCATCCCCCAACCCAGAGGGACACTCTACCTATGCCCTCTAAGACAGATCACCATGGAACCCCCAGGAGAATCTCAACAAATGCTGCCAAGACTGTTGCTAACACTGACAGGGAATGAGACTGAGGGTAGTGAGCATGATTAAATATCTACAATAAAATAAAAAAGGCATTATTAAGGCTTTATATGAAGCAGGGATCCAAGAGGCTTCACCATCACCTACTGGAAACCAAAAGAAAAGTGCCTTCGATCACCATGGAACCCCCAGGAGAATCTCAACAAATGCTGCCAAGACTGTTGCTAACACTGACAGGGAATGAGACTGAGGGTAGTGAGCATGATTAAATATCTACAATAAAATAAAAAAGGCATTATTAAGGCTTTATATGAAGCAGGGATCCAAGAGGCTTCACCATCACCTACTGGAAACCAAAAGAAAAGTGCCTTCTTTGCAGCAGACTGAAAAAAGAGATGAAAAGAGACTTTATATAATAATAATTTTTTCTGTAAAAACAGCAGAACACATTTCCATTAATGCCCAGGCAGAAAAATAGTCCATTAAACCATGAACAAACAAGGTGACAAGGCATCTAAGAAAGAAAGAGAAAAATCTCCAGAAAATAAGCTTACAGACATAGAAATATGCAACTTAAATGACAGAGAATTTAGGATGATACTTCTGAAAAAAACAATGAGATCGAAAACAACTCAAATCAACAAGTTCAGGAATTAAAAAAATAACTAGATGAGCAGAGCAAGGAGATTGAAACCCACAAAAGGAACAAATAGAACTTCTGTAGATGAAGAACACACTGCAAGAGTTGAAAAATGAAATAGCAGGCTTGAGAAATAGAGTAAATAAATAGAGGAAAGGATCAGCGATATCAAAGACAGAAATCTAGACATAAATCAGAAGGAAAAGAGAGAAATCAAAGAATGAAAAATAATGAAAGAGAAATTCAAGAACTAGCTGATATCTTCAGGAGAGGAAACATAAGAATAATGAGCAATATCGATGGCAAGGAAAAGGAACAGGGACTAGAAAGCATTTTCAGACAAATAGTGGATGAGAATTTCCCAAATCTAAGGAATGAACTGGAGCGTGGAATTTAAGAAGTCAACAGAACACCCAATTACCTCAATACAAAAAGGCTTTCACCAAGACACATTGTATTAAAGTTATCAAAAATCAACAGCAAAGATAGAATTCTCAGGGCAGCCCAGGAGAAGAAAACAGTAACTAATAAAAGAAAACCCATTAGATTATCATCAGACTTCTCAGCACATACCTTACAAGCCAGAAAGGAATGGAATCAAATATTTAAGCTATTAAGTGAAAGGAACTACCAGCCTAGAATAACATATTGAGCTAAGCTCTCCTGTAGATATGAAGGAGAAATTAAGACCTTTCCAGACATACAAAAATTGAAGGAATTCTCCACTACAAGGCCTGCACTACAGAAAATACTGAAAGGGGTCAGCTCATCTAAAACAAAATGACAACAACAACAAAAATACATAATTAGGAGTAAAGTGACTATTAGGCAAATAGAAGCTGAGGAGTGCAAACCATACTAAGAACAGGGCATTATATTCTTAAAAAATAAGAACAGAATTGCTATTGCAAGATAGTAATGAACATTCAGCATACATAGAGACAAATTGAGATAACAGTGACTGAAAAGAAGAGGATTCGAAGATCCAAATTCACAAAGGGGAATAGAGATAAGGCACACAAAGAAGAAAATGGACAACTGTATATATGTAACTAACCTTTTCATATTCGTAATGATAACCACACACCAAAGATTCAGAATTGAAGTATATAACACAAAACAAGAAGAATTAGAGGTAAAAAGCACAAAATCCAACCAAAATAAAGAAAACAGAAACACATGGACAAGGAAGCAATGCAAACACCGAGATACCAGAAAGCAAAAGATAAAATGGCTATAAGAAGACTTCATATTTCAATAATCACTCTAATGAAAATGGTCCAATAAAAAAGCACAGAGTTCCAGAATGGATCAAAAAACAAAATCCAACCATATGCTGCCTCCAAGAGACACATCTCAGCTCCAAAGACAAATATAGGCTCAAAGTGAAAGGGCGAAAAATAATATTTCAAGCAAATGGCATTCAGAGAACAGCAGAAGTAGTGGTACTAATATCAGATTTTAAAAAAGACTTCAAAATAAGAAAGGTAAAGAAAGATACTGAGGGACACTTCATAATGTTAAAGGGAATCATGTACCAAGAAAACATAACACTTATTAATATCAATGCTCCCAATCAGAGAGCCCCAAAATATGTAAAGCAATTACTAACAGAACTAAAGGGAGAGACAGATCAAAACACTATCATAGTAGGGCACCTACATACTCCACTGTCAGATATGCACAGGTCATCCAAACAGAAAATAATAAGGAAATAACATTATACCAACTGGACATAATTGACATATACGGAGCCTTCCGTCCCCAAACAGCTGCTTATACATTCTTCTCTAGTGCACATGGAACATTCTCAAGAATCTACCACATACTGGGACAAAGAGATAGCCTCAACAAATATAAGAGATTTGAAATCTTACCAACCATATTCTCTGATCATAATGCTTTGGAACTAGAGATAAACTGCAAAAGGAAATCAAGAAGAACTACAAATACATGGAGATTAAATGACATGCTACTGAAGAATAACTGGGTCAGGGAAAAATAAAAGAGGGATTAAGAAATACATAGAAACAAATGATAATGATAGTACAACATATCAAAACTTTTGGGACACGGCAAAAGCAGTCATAAGAGGAAAGTTCATATCATTACAAGCCTATTTCCAAAAACAAGGATGAGCCCAAATAAACAATCTAATGGTTCATCTTAAAAAAAAAAAAAATAGAAAAGGAA